CATGGTCTTTCTACATGAATACTGTTTCATGTGTACTTTGATTGGCATGATATTAAAGACCATTGTTTCTGCCCTGGTGATGAACTCTGATGTTTCTTTTCTGAGGCTACTTGATAGTTGACCTTGGGAGCTATGTTTGCTGTGCACGAGCACAACAAGCACTCTGGAGCTCTGCGCTTTATGGCTTGTCGATGCTCTGCCTGGCCGCGTTCTTCCATGGCTGTTGCCGCCGTCGATGTTGGTAAGATTTGTCCGCAGTGGCCAAAATCGAAGCCCAACGTTGATCATGTTTGTAGATGGTTCTGTCCCAACTTGGTTTGATTGGGATTATAAGGCCTAGATAGACTGTCGTGACCATCTTAGTAGAATTGACGTATTTTCCCTGCGTTGATTTTAATTCGTTTTTCTCAATAATTCTTGGAGCAATTGGTTTCACCCGCTAGACGCGGTTTCACTTCACCAGCCAAGTCTGCATGTTCCGAAAGGCCTCCAGCCTTTGCCTCGATTTCGCATGTAAAACAGTAGCGCTTTCTTAAAGACTCCTTGGTGGGTTCCTGGTTCAATTTGGGTTTCTCAAAGAATTGTTGTTGTTGTGAGCTTCTTTCTTAGAGTGATGGAATTCAAAATGAAGTGTGGCCTTTTTAAGACTTTTCGGAGTCCTACAGTAGGGTGGTGGTTTCTGGTTGCGAACGGGGGGTAGTGCTGGAGAAGTTTTGAGGCCGTTTTGAGAAGCATTTTAACAGTCCGGGAAATGGTTGCGACGTCAGTTTGCACCAGTGTGTACGTTTCACAGTAGCTTAGTGTCCCACAGGACTATATCCTTGCCAGCCAACTGCTTTTGCCGCTTTGTCTAGGTCTGAACATGTCTGAGCAATCAGTATGGGGAATGACACAAGGTGAAGGCTAATTCCAAAAATATGTTATCTTTTGGAATATATATATGCATATATTGCATTTCATGAATATGAAGTATTTGGATGTGATATAAAATTTGGATGTACTGTTTAATAAAATATGAATTGATACAACATGGAATAAGTTGTGTTGTTTGGTTTTGTAGGAATATTTTATGAATTGATAGATGGGGGTGTATATGACGATGTTGGGGAGGTAAAGGATTGAGTGGGATTATGGGGATATTTGGAATGATTTGGAGGAATTAGACGTGTTGGATAATATGATTGATTTTTAATTTTAAAATATATTTATGAATTTATTAGATATGTTTTAAAAATATATATAAATATATTTGGTTTGTGATGTTGAAAATGATATATTTATTTATATATAGAAAAATAGGAAAATATTATATTTTAAAAAAATGAAAAAGAAAAATCATATATATAATGAATGGTATTTTGAAATTGTATTTTCAAAAGAAATTATATAATATTTATATATAAAATTAAAATATATTTATTATATTTAAATATAATAAAATTGGTGTAAAAAAATATAGATAAATAGATATAAATGAATCGATAAATAATTATTAAAAAAAATGAGATAGGAAAAGATAAATAAATAACTATAAATAAATTGATAAACAAATACATATAAATAAGGAAAACAGATAATAATATATTAATAAAAACATAATAGGAGAAATAAACATATAGATATATATAGAAATAAATAAAATAAAATTATATAATTAAACAAAAAATAATATAAAAAATAATATATATATATAATAATAAATAAATAAGGAAAAATAAATATAAAGATATAATAGAATAATTAATTAATGATGAATAAATAATAAACAATAATAAATAAATATTTAAAAATAATAATTAGATAATAATAAATAAATATCGGTAATATTATATAAATTATAATATATGAATATTAAAGATAATAAACAAGAATTAAGAAATAATAACAATCTAATATGTATTTTTATTTATATTTATTTATTTATAATTAATTTTTTATTTATTTTTTATTTGTTTTCCTTATTTATTAATTATTATTTATCTATTAATACCTATTTATCGTTATAAAGATATATAAATGACCATAAATAAACATAGATAGAAACAAAAACAGAGATAAACAAAGACAAATATAGATAGACAAACATAAACAGAGACAAACAAACAAAGAGACAAACAAAGACAACCCATATTTCGCATACTAGATTTGCACTTCAAAATTATATGTTTCCCAGAAACCTATATTTCGTACATTATACTTATGCTACAAAATTACGATTTACCAACTAAAATTAAAAACATATATTTCACAAATTAAATCTGTATTACAAAATTACGATTTTCCAATATATATTAGATTTCTAAACAGTATATCTAAATACAATTTCTATTCGATATTTCTAAACGACATCTTTTCTAATCGGTTTTTCTAAACAACACTTTTTCAATATTTCTAAACAACATTTTCGCTCAATTAACACTTCTAATCGACAGTTTAAGCACTATATTGCGGAACCACATCCCCGAACGACGAACAACATTTTTAATCCAAATTTCTCATCGATAATGTTGGGTAATACTTCTAACCAACACTTCTGACCCATACTGCTCATCGACACTCCTAAGCAACACTACTAAATTAATATTTCTAATCGACACTTCTGAATAGCACTTCTAATCGGCATTTCAAACCGACACTTTTGAGGAACCCTTCTCATCAACACTTTCGACCAACGCTTCTTATTAACACTTCTAAAAATTTTAAGCAACACCTAATCAACACTTCTAAATTGTATTTTTCTAATCGACGATTTTGATTAACACTTTTAAACAACATTTTTTTTGATCGACCTTTCTGAACAATATTTCTACTTAACACTATTACTTTTGAACGACACTTAACCGACGCTTTTGAACCATATTTTTTCTAATCGACATTTCTAAGTAACACTTCTAAACGATACTTTTTTTAATCGATTTTTCTGAGTAAAATTTATAATTGACATTTCTAAACGACATTTTTGAGCGACACCTATTTAATATACACGACATTTGTTCTAATCGATTTTTCTAAACAAGATTTCTAATCGACATTTTTGCATAACATTTTTACTCCGCATTTCTAATCGACACTTCTAATCAACAATGTACACAACACTGCCGAACCACACTTCTAATTAACAATACTTCTAATCCATGCTTTTTATCGACACTTCTAAACATTACTTCCAACCAACATTTCTAATCCACCCTACTCATCGACACTTCTAAACGACACTTCTGAACAACATTACTACATTAACACTTCTGAGCAATATTTCTATCCAACATTTCTAATCGATACTTCTAAATGAGCAACATTTCTAACCCATATTTCTCTAAACAATATTTTTGAATGCCATTCTAATCGATTTTTCCATTCAACATTTCTAAGCAACATTTCTAAGCAATATGTTTTAAACAATTTTTATTTGAATCTATACTTATAATTAACATGTTTAATCGATAATGTAAATAACATTACTAAACCATTTTTCTGATTAATGCTAATAAACAACATTTCTAATCCATATCTTTTATCGATACTTCTGCACAATATGTTTAAGCAAGACATTTAATCGATCTTTCTGTTTTGTTTTAGTTCTAAGTAACACTTCTAATCCGTATTTTTAATAACAAATTTATAAGATATATCTAAGCAATATTTCAAGTTAATATTTTTATTCAACACTTTTGATCCATATTTCTAATTAATATTTCTAATCGACATTTCCGACCGATACTTCTAAACAATACTTTAACACTTCTAAACAACACTTCTATTAGACACTTGTAATCAGGACTTCTAAACGACACTTCTGTCTCCAAAAGCGCACCGTGCCACAACGAGAGCGATTCGATCCACCCTGTGCACCGCACCACAGCGAGATTCGATCCACCCAATATACACAAAGGTTTCATTTCGCATGCTCAAAATGCATACCGCGTCACAGCGAGAGCGATTGGACCCACCCAAAATACGTAAAAAATTCGTTTCGCACACTCAAAACACGGAGAACGATTTAACCCTCCGAAAGTACGTAGAGAGTTCGCTTCGCGTTCGCAAAATGTGCTCCGCGCCACACCGAGAGCCTACAGTGCGCAGAAGGTTTGTTTCGTGATCGCAAAATGTGCACTATGCCATAACGAGAGCAATCTCGCTAAGTCAAAGTAACGTGCTTCCCACGAAATCTTCACCCAAGCACACTCAAAATGCGTATTGCGCCACAACGAAAGCGATTTAACCTACCCAAAATGCATAGAGAATTCGTTTCGCATTCTAAAAATGTGCACCGCGCCACAACGAGTTACAATAAGCATGTAACACTAATATAACATTATAATGCTAGACAATTTCGACCATGTTTTAGGCCCGTCAAAACGAGCCAATTACACGACAGGGCCAACGAAAATGGCGCCGGCCCAATTATTATCATGCACCTACCAAGCAAATTACACACGTTTCCAAAAACAATCCCAAAAACACATGCTTATCGCCTCACCGCGAGCGATTACGAACGAATACGAACGACTACGGACGATTGGTTACAAACTCTAACGCAAGTTACACACGTTTCCAAGAACAATCCCAAAAACACATGCTTATCGCCTCACCGCGAACGATTACGAACGGTTACGGACGGCTATGGACGATTACAAACTCTAACGCAACTCCTAGCAAACACGGTCTCCACCCCTAAACCCCCCATTTATAAACGACATTCCTTCGTTATGCATTCGGGAAAAGCACACAAACAAACAGAGAAATAGAGAGACAAAAAGATAAGAAAACCAAAGAGACAGAAAGACAAAGAGAGACACAGAGAGACAAAGAGAGACAAAAAGAGACAAAAAGAGACAAAGAGAGACAAAGAAAGACAAAGAGAGACAAAGAGGAAACGGAAAAGAGAGAAAAAGAGAATAAAAAAACAGGGAAATAAGGAAATAAGGAAATAGAGAAATAAAGAAAAAGAACAAAATGGAAAAAGAAAAATAAAGAACGATTATAAAAAACAAAAAAAACAAAAAAACGAAAGAAAGAAAGAGGGAAATAGGGAAAAATAAAAAAAAAGAAAGAAGGAAAGAGAGAAAGAGCGAAAGAGGGAAAGAGCGAAAATAATCCAAAATTCGAGAAAATTTGCCGCGAGAGTTCGACGCGAAAATCCGCAACCCCCCCCCCCACCAAAAAATTTAGAGACTTCCGGGCTACGCTTAGAGGCAGGAACTTGTGGCGCGGAGAAAAAAAAATAGGACGGGCATAGCCGCTTGCCGCAAACAACTACAACGGCTCTGCGGTGCACGCGAAATGCGACCCTAAGGCCACGCCGATTTATAAGAGAATATGGGAAAATAAAAATCAAAATAATGTTTTAGCTTGCGTGAAAGGCCGCGGCTAGCGCAATGTGTCGATGGCACAAAAGGAAAAATAACAAATTCTTAGAAGCAATTTTGCATTTGTTTGCAAGTTAGGCACAGCTATTTCGTTTATAGAGCGGGCATCGTAAATATAAGGGGCTAGTTCCAAATATAAAGGTTTTCGTAGGTGTTTAGACTATAAGCATGATAGCTTAGACTTACACATGTTTTTGTATTAAAGGGAATTAGAGATTTACTCGTTTGATATTTTGATCGTCTACGTATTCGCCGGAACGCCAGTGACTACGGCGCGAAATGAAAACCAAAGGACCGGATTATCTAACTACTAATTAATTAATTTAAAATAAAGCAAGTGCGGTAATTACAAAATTTAACGGATTAATAATAATATTTTAATTTCAAGGACAGTAAAAATTCAATTGCTTCATTTTAGCGCCGTTTACACACGCACCAGATTTTCTCAAACCATCCGTGTATTTTTCCTTAAGGTTTAAAATGTAATATAAAAAATTGTTTTCGGACCCATCGTCTATTACAAATCATTCTATACGGCCTTCTCCATATATAGAAGCTATATCATTTAAATTTCTAGAAAAACAAAATAAAATAAAAAATATATATATATATTTATCAAGATTTATGCCAATCTAATTCCCCCCCAAACCATATTAATCCCTACCACAAAATAAATTAAACCTAACCCAAAATATATAATTACATATCTTAATATTATTTTATATATATATATATCAAATTAATAAAATAAATATGTATTATATATATCAATTTCATAAATTTATTATATGGTAAATAAAATCAAATAAATTATATTAATATCATTATACTCTATATTTTATTCTATAATTTAATAATTATTTTATTTAAATAAAAATATTCAATAATTAATTCTTCAATCTTAATTTAATTATCAATACATACTATATTAAATATATTTACAATATTTATTTAAATATATATATATATAATTATCATTTTGACTAATTTTATATATATATGTATTTATAATATTTAATTATTATTCCAATCTATTAATAAGTAATTTAAAATATTAATATTCCTAAATTCAACAAAATATAAATATATATCTATATATATTATTTTATATATAAATTGTGTTTTTTGAATCATTTTTTTAATCGATTGTTGTTTAAACAAATAATAATAATAATCGTAGCTGTGTTTTTCTGATGTGATGGAAAGGATGGGAATGAATTGTGTATGATCTATCTATCATTCTCCTAAGCAATTTTATAGACTAATGGAGGAGCGAAAACAGAGACAAGCATATCTCTTCTCCCAACAACCCATGTTGTAATTTCCGGAAATCATTTTTAGATGCTAGAACCATGTCCAGAAATCCCCCCGATGGAACAAGCAATATTCAATAGACACAATTGAATCTAAAGCTCAAATTGTGAATGATCCTCATGAAACAGCTGCATGTAATTGCGTTGTTTCAATCTTTCCTCCAGATTATATTGGACGGGCAGAATTACATTGGACGGTGCACCGCATTTGAAGGGAACAGCCGTCTTGCTGTCAACAGGCAGGAATGCTGCCGAAAGTGTGCCAAAGCCACACACTTGTGGGCAGTGACAACGATCCTAAGCGACATTTGCCGGCTGCGAATTGGCAAACATCCCTCCAAACAGGTCGACCGTTTCCTCGGGTTCCGCCTTGGCTGGCTGCAGGCAGCACCAAGCGAGCCAAACGCATGCAAACAACACAAGTACAATGAGGCTGCCCCAAACAGCTTCACCGGCGACTGGTGTCAGCTCACCGCCGAAGGATATTGCAGATTGCATCCACACAGGCAGGCTCGATTGCATCGCGCTTGAAGAGCCCACAAATCCCACGGCATGAGTGTCTGTGGCATTCGGCAAGTCCAAAGAGATGCCAGTGTCCAACATGGGCGCCAACGCTCGGGCAAGCTCCTCGGAGTTTGGGTCCGATGCTGGAGCGACCGGGTCGGCGGCCGGGCTGCGCTTTTGCTGATGACCCAAAGCTTCTTCGAGCCGGGACAGTTCTCGCACCAAGAACTCCGCGTCTTTGGACATTGCATCTGCTGCTTCACCAGCTCGCTGCAGCGTCCCTTCCAGCCTGAACTTTTCACATTGCATGCTCAACCCCGGCCATAACCAGAAAAAACAAGAAGAAGAAAAAACGCCTGGTGGAGTCTGACGCGGCAGTGGATGATCGAGCCACTGCGTGTGCCTGGTTGCACTTTCGAGTTTCGACCACGACTGAACAACATCGCTTTCCAATGCTTTGCTCAATGCAGGACACATCCATCTGAAACATTGGACACCTTTTGAGCTGAGCGTCCCCTCGTTGGACCAATGCACAGCTGAAGTCCGTCAATTCGTCTAGCAATTCAGCCGCGCCTTATGCCAACAGCTTCCTGCACAAACCTCCCATGTCCCCTACAACGCAGCCAACACCAAACCAAAGCTGACATAGCTGACTAAGGCAGAACAGGTTGCTCGAACTCACTGCCAAAAGAACGCCAGCAAAACGCAATGCACGAAGCATGGGACATGAATCTCCGCCCAGGCGAGTGGTTTCACCCAAGATTTCGGTTCCCACTTGGGCCAAAACATGCGACACTCGTGCAGTTGGAGTGTTCCACGTGCGTCAAGCTTCTCTTCCTGTCAGAGTCATGAGCCATGCCACCAGTTCCGCTGCGTCTTGATATGCGCGTACGTTTGCTTTCCCACTTGGATCCCATCGTCGCTGGGGTGTCCCACCGTTAAGCCAAAGCCATACCAAATCAGCTGTCGACCAGCTTCGAGCCCACCGGACCAAAGCAAAGTTACAGTCCCAAACTTGGCCTCTAAAGGATGCGGAGCGCATGCTGGCTTAGAGTGAGCCGATGGATGTTTGAGGTGATGCTAGGCAAATTTCACTGACAGGCAATGCCTGTTGGACTGCATGCCTTGAATGCTCACATGTCCTGGAAGTGTGACTCAACTTGAGCATAACAGCGTATTGGCGACGGCAATATGCCGATTTAGAGGAACGCACACAACAAACATGCGGGAAGAGATGTTCTTTCCAAGTAGCCAAGCTGGCACCAAAGAGGCGCTTCCACATTAAGCTTTGGCTACCCTCGATTGTGCGCAAAAAGCAAGGTCAAATCAATGCTGGACATTTGCTTGTTTATCATTATCTGCCTGCCTTTCTGGCTGTCTGTGTCTGTGTCTGTCTGTCTCTCCGCCTCTCTCTCTCTCTCGCATAGTGGCAAAAGCGAGAACCCCCGCTCCCCCCCCCCCGCCACGATGTCGCCACCCAGCCCGTCCTCCAAATACAAGCGATGTTTAAAAAAAAGAAGAAAAAAAAACAGTTGCCCGATTCGCGCTGCCAAACGTGCAGGCCAACTCAAACCAACCCTACCGCCAATAGCCAATGCTAAGCCCGCTAACACCGGAATCCTCTCAGAACAGGGCCGCCCAGCTGGGATTGGCAAATCGGGGACCACAAAGCTGTCAGCGCGATGTCGCAGCCAAAGATGCGAACTTGCCAATCCCGTGCCTACCTCAATGTGATCAATATGCAGGGAAGGGAATCTACGGCGGCTGTGGACAGCCCTGAAGTGAGCCGCCTTCATACCTACCATCCCAAATGGTCTGTGCGGATTGCCTCTTCGCGTGGGAGACGAAAATGGCTTGGCAACCCGAATCAAAGTCAACTGAGTTTGACGATTTTGGGCGACCCTGGCCCATGTACCCGAGATCCTTGAATGCCTCCATCTCCAAGCAAAACCATCAAGGGGACGTGTTCGGAGCCCTGCCACACAAAAAATGTCTTGTGGTGCCTTGTGTTCCTGGCTGGCGTAACGACTCTTTTTCCATGCTGCTTGCTCAGACTGCCTCGCGCCCCGTGGAAAACTCGTTTAAGGGGTACGGTATGGTTGCATCAAGCTCCACTTGAGGGATGACCATACGTCTGCAGGAGCCTCACACTTCGAAACTCAACCGACGCCGGCAGTCTGAAAAAATCCGAATGAACTAGACTTGAGACAAATCATTCTTGTCACACACACACACACACACTCGACGCGAGCAAAAAAGGAGTCGGGTAAGGATAATGCAAGGCTCCTGCCGATGAGGGCCTAGGACTCCTAACCAATCTCACGTACAAGGTCTGCACTGGGGCGCAGCCTTGAACTTCATGGCTCAAAAATGATGCGAGTAGATCATCTGCTCGTAGGTTGGGTACGGATAGATGCCTGCAATCAAGCAGATCACATGCCATGACCTGTTGCATCGACTTATTTGTCCAAGACGCTGGTCTCCATGATTGTTTCGGCCTTGTCGACCGCCTAGCAATCAGCTGTAGAAAGCCAAGCTTGTGGAAAAAAGGGGCATGCGGCAAATGGCTCTTGGTTGCTGGCCTGCCGCAGAGAGTTCATCAATGGCTTCAGGGTGTCGCAAAGGTAGACGGCCTCCTTTTCCAAGTCGCCATGCGGCTTCGCCTCCACGCCAGATTTAAGCTTCTCCAGCCTTGATTTGCACATGCAAACGACGCAAAAACACACTAAAACAAGTCGACACGGCATTCCTCAACTACGGCAGTGCTCTGGGGCAAGCGGCTGATCCACAATCTCCTCATAAGCGGCTTTTCTCGGTGCCTCAAACTCTTTGCTGAAGGAGCCGGTGCATTTCTGCAAATCCTTGGCGCAAGCTGGCAATATGCCAGTCTCTGCCATGTTGATCATCGTCTCCGCTTCGATGGAAAGGCAGGTGACGTAATTCTCATACATGACCTGGCAACACGCTCGTGAAATCTGACCCAACCTTCACTCTGCAGGCCAGGCACCTCTTGCCGTGCAGCTGTCTCCTCCGGGGTGTAGATCTTCAGTGTCTCGAACCTGCATTGACAGTTTGGCAACCGGGACCTGGCTGTTTGGTCTGCGACGAAGCCGTGAAAAGAGCACTGGTGCTACCCCAAATATGAGTTACAAGTTCTGCCAGGCAACAGCGTCGTGTTCTTGTCGGAGTTCCATGTGGCGATGGCTTTCGGCGTCGTGTTCAGATTTGGCAAGCCTCGCGGCCACCAGTGCAAAGACCCTCAGCAAAGCAGCCCAACTCCGACAGCCGCAACGCAAACGCCATCTATCTATGGTATAGCTTAATTGAGGCATTGCCAAAAAATTGGCGCGTTCCGAGCTAACACCATGATGATGCAGCCTTTTGGCGTAAGCAAACTACCGTTGCCCCCGCCGTGTCATTTTCTAATTCTACCAGTGCTGCTACCACAACAACTCCTATTGCTCCAGCTGCTGCTGCTACTGCTACTGCTGCTACTACTGCTGCTACTATCGTCATCACCGTCATCATCATCATCAGCACAGCATCAGCATCATCATCATGGTGTCGTGCTTAATTTGTCGACTTGCCTCCAGTGGCTGGAAGCTAAAAACAGCGCTATGCAGCACCCAATTGGCCATCCCAAATCTGCCATGCTTTATACTACGGGGCAAAGAAGTGCTCCCTTGACATAAAAAGCTCCACAGGGCGGGGGAAAGAAGGAGGACAAGAAGGGTGCAAGGGCGGAGAACTGGAGCCAAGGCCCCCCGAGAACGGTACATGAAGCAGCAAACTCCTCAGCGCCAACCGGGGATTGGCCAAAACACGGTAGCGCCCCCACTTCCCAACGGGCCCAAAGCCAAGGATCTGAACTTTAATAGGGGGCCCTGTGCTGGACATCATTTAGCCGGCCAACAACATTCAAAGCCATACCTACCTTGTCCATTCTGACTGTAGCTTGCTCCCCGCCTCGCTTGGCAGCTTCCTCTTTCCACTCTGCCGAGTATCCATTTCCCGTAAAAATCACGTGCTTGTTCTCCTGCGGCTTGTGTCAACACATCTGCTTGGTGAGTCACCATAGCATGGCTTTTTGCGCATAAGCTGCTGTTCTTGTGAGGTTTAAAATGACTGCGCTGACAACAGGTAGAACCTGTGCAAACCTCGAATGCAGACAGTTTTGGGATTGGGCGCGGGACTGGGCAGCCGGAGAGTCAGGCGAAACTCGCGCATGCCACAGATTGACCTCGGAACTTTGACTGCCCTCTTCCTGCATTCTTCGTCGTCATGGTTGTGAAGAACCCTTCGTCGTCATGGTTTGTGAAGAACCCTTCGAAAACGCGTTTGCAGAACCCTCCCAAGAACCTTAAATTTTCTCAACGAGTTGTGCGGAAGGTGGCAAACCTTGATACGAAACTCTCTGAGGATTGGTCGCGTACGTTTGGCTTGCGTCGGAAACGTGGCCCAAATACTTATAACCTGAATCATGTGGCTCGATATTTGTCCTACAAGCGCGCGATTTCAGCATCCGTGCAGGGACTTTGGGCCGGTGTGCTCTGCTCCCTCTCCAAGAAAAAGCAAGGCGCGACACCAGGCGTGAGCAGCACGGCATCTTTCCATATGTTTCTTACGTTTGCATTCGGTGCTTTGTATGCAGCGTGCGCTGTTTCTACAGTTGCGTTGGCACCATTCCAGGAAAAATATACCTGGAAGTACATTGGGAGTCCTTCCTTCTGAGGTCCACTGCAAAGAAGTTCAAGTGAACATGTATCAAGCTTGTCATGGAATGATGGGAGCCCTTCACTGTTGCTCTGAACTGGGTTTCTTTACGCATCTGACGCCGCAACATGGGTCTGTCAAACTGCAACTTGGAATGAGCAAGTGCAATGTCAACTTTGCATTCCGGGCGACCGTGAGCCATGGGGCTTCACTCAAAATGGACAAAACTCTGTCCAAACATTTCGGTGGGCATGAGTCCAAATCCCGCACCCCCATTGAGCATCCCAATCCCAACTAAAATAGACTAAAACGGGTGCCCAAGAAGGGATCCCATTGGTTTTGACAACCACCGCCATATTGCTTCGGATTGCTTCGGATCGATCCTCCCCATGTCTCCTTAAAGAGCTCCGCCACCGCGTCGCGGTGGCTCTTGCCTTTCTCCACCATCTCCGCCAGCTGCCCCATGCCCGCGGCCATGATGGCGTTGCAGACCATGACGGGCAGGCAGCAGTTCTGCGAACTGCCCACCGCCCGGAACTCGAAGCGGTTCCCGCAGAAGGGGAAGGGAGCCGTGCGATTTCGGTCCTACACAGGCGAAGGCTAAGGACACTGAACAAACACCCCCACAACTGTTGAAACAGTTGCCCCCCGAAAAACAAAATCACTGTTTCACTTGCCTCCCCCCCCGAACAATTCCCCCCCCCCCCCCCAACAATTCAGCAATTCATGTGCAAAGCCCCCAGCTCTCAACAGTAAAGCCGACACTTGCCATGGAATCCTCCACATTTGCCTCGATGAACATGGCCTGCGAGCAACCCGTGGGCTGCTTCTTCTTCTCAGCCTTGTAGCCCAGGAGATCGCCTCCGGCGATTACGCTGTCCACATACTGCTCGAAACCTTGCCCTGGGTACAGCCTCAGTTGGGTGTGGGTCAAAATCAATCCACCAAGGGACCGCAGGTTTTAGTCCATGTTTCCATTTACCAGGGTTCCATTTTGGGCACCATTTTTTGACATACAAATCAGAGAAAGAACGCAAGCCCTTTTTGCTAGCACTGCTTGGCTCTCACTTTATGTTAGCAAGTGATGTGTTTGGGAATTTGCCTTAAAATTATAGAGACCCTTAACTATATCAAGGGAAACCACTCGTTAAAGTAATATTGTGAAACCCCAAGCATGTTCGCTTTGAGGTTTCCTTGCATTGAGTGATTCTTTTGAGCCCGTGCTTCTTTTGAGCCCGTGCTTTCATTGTGGACCTTCTTTTTTGGGGCCCACCTCGGCTTTTGTTTTTTTTGCCCTTCTTGCTCGGAGCCTCTTCCCATTTGAACGGCCCCTCCCACATCCAGCGCCCGCCACCTCCCGCGCGCGCGGAAGCGCGGCGGCCGAAGCGCGCCCGCGGAACGCGGCCGAAGGGCGAGATGATGGCCGGCGGGGCCTCCTGAGCTCCCAGGCGGTGGTCGTTGCCGGCCGTGGCCACCGTGCAGCGCACCAGCTCCTCGGATCGAGGAGCTGACCCGGCAAAAAGCTTTTTTTTTTCAATTTTTTTTTGGGGGGGGTTAGTGGAAAAGGTGTTCAACTTCTTGGGGTTCTTCACTTTTTGGGGGATTAGTGGAAACCCCCTTGATTTCACCAAGAGTTAAAGTCTAAAGATCCAACCCAATAGCAGTCAAGAGATGGAACTAGTCGCCTTTTTTTGCAGCTTGCCTCCGAGTGGTGTGGATTGGTGTCTTGGATTGGTTCAGCAGGGTTGCTTTCCCCCATGACCCCTCCACAAAAGCCAGGGGTTCGAATCCCCAAACCACCAACTAAGGGTTTACTGACGCGTGAAAAAAACCACAACACAAACGAGTGATATTTACAGTGTGTTCACAGATTTCATGGTTTATGTGGCATCTTGGTAAGTTGCTGACATTTCCAAGAGATCATCATTCTGCAAAGGCTGGCTGCATGCAAACGCAATCGAGGCGCTTGACAGCAAAACCTTGACTTTGCATCCTGATGCTGGTGCTAAGGCTTCCAAGGCGCGTTGTACTTTGCCAGACCGTAGGAAAGACAAGCAATGCCGGTCACGAACAGCTTGGCACCTTCTTCCGTCTTTCCGGGGTAGAAGAAGTTCAGTCCAGTGTCTGTGCCTCTGACAGGCAACTTTTGCCCAAAACGCTGCTTATACAACACTTTTGGAGACATGCCCGCATAGCTACCTCTCAATATTCACGGCATCTCTCAACCAACAAAATCCAGAAGCGCACAGTGGTGCAGGAAAGTCTTTGGAGCAAACTGCACGCGCGTTGATGCCCATCCAAGCACAAACATCAACAGACTTTCGCAGTCCGCACACGCGCACGCGCACGCGCACGCACACGCACACGCACACGCACACGCGCACGCACGCACGCACGCACGCACGCACGCACGCACGCACGCACGCACGCACACACACACACACACACACACAGACACAGACACAGACACAGACACAGACACAGACACAGACACAGACACAGACACAGACACAGACACAGACACAGACACAGACACAGACACAGACACAGACACAGACACCGCACACACACACGCCCCTCAAAGAGGGGGGAAAAAATTTCCGGGGGGGAGAAGAAGCGCCCGAAAGACGGACGAAGACCCCAACAGAAAACAAACGGAGCAAGCGCCCAAAAGAAACAGAAAGCCCCACGTTGGGTCTCCGCGGGCAAAACCCCAACCAAGAAACACGAAAAACAGGGGAACCCAAGTTTTAGGGTCACCGCCGAGGGCAAAAACCCCAAACAGCCCAGAAACCCTCCTAAACCTGGAAGACGACCACCACCGCAAAGTTGAAGACCAAGAAGAGGACCAGGCCATCCCTAAACGGGCGAAGAGGAAGAACAGGAAGTAGTTGGAAAAAGGGGGGGGGGAGGAAACGAAAGAAAGGAAGAGAGAAAGAGAGAAAGAAAGAAAGAAAGAAAGAAAGAAAGAAAGAAAGAAAGAAAGAAAGAAAGAGAGAGAAAGAGGGAAAGAAAGAAAGAAAGAATGAAAGAAAGAAAGAAAGAAAGAGAGAGAAAGAGGGAAAGAAAGAAAGAAAGAAAGAAAGAAAGAAAGAAAGAAAGAAAGAAAGAAAGAAAGAAAGATGGTAAGTGTGCGTATTTAAGGCGACGCATCCCGCCCAGAGAAACACGAGGACAAAGACAATGCTCGAGGAAGAGGGCGTCGAATCCCGCAGAGGGGCCAAGAGGAAGAGCACGATGAAGCAACGGTAGGGGACGAAGACGGCAAGCCAAACAGCGCGAGGGGACCGAGGACCACGAACAAATAGGCAAACAAGAAGAGGACGACGACGAAAAAGGCAAACAACGCGGCAGAGAAGAAGCCATCCCTAAACGGGCCAAGAGGAAGAACAGCAACACGCGGAAGACGGAAGGCCGGAAGAAGGAACGGGAGGAAGGAGAAGCCATCCCTAAACGGGCGAAGAGCAAGACGACGGACACGCGGACGACGAAGGCGAGGAGGGAGGGTGAAACGTATCTATGAAGAGGTGGCTGTCTTCCCTTTAGTGAAACCTCGTTCCTGCTTAAACGTGAAATTCCGCTGGTCTATGATAAGCACGTTGAGGTCAAATTTTCCGGCGAACCGGCCCGGGGTCACACGATGGGTACACCCGAGGGTCCCCCACGAATGGGGTGTTCACACTTAGACTCCAGATGGAGGGATCTAATCTTTCGAGTACAACTGGTAAGTCTCGGCTTGGATAAGGCTCTGCATGAATAAGTTTCGGCTCGCAATGCACTCGGTTTCCCTCTAGTGTCGAAAACGTTACAAGGTTCAACATGAAGCACACACAGCGAGAGAAACAACGGGCCAAAAAGACTTTGCACAACCATTGCAGGTACACAGCTGGACGTCTCCAACTGCTTCACCAGGGTCACGAGAGTGTCTTCGTTGGTGGCAGACTCTCGGCCCTGCTGCCACCCCCTGCTGTCGTGAAAAAAGGGATTGTATGGTGGCAGGGTATTCTGCCACTCCGCGCGCACACACACACACACTGCACACGTATACGCATGCTGGCAGGCCCATGCCTACTGACCAGTTGGCGTGCTTGCCGCTGCCGTTGATGCCCGCGAAGGGCTTCTCATGGAACAAAACCTGCAGGCCCAGCTTGGCCGCCTCCCTGTTCATGACCTGCGTATCTGTCAAAATAGGTGCTTTCGGACCCCAAACAAATGGGTGCGGACAACACAACACAACAACACAACACAAATACCAGGGTTCCATCTTTTGACAACCCCAAAGTGGACTTGAAACCAGGGGTGGTTGAATTCCCCAAAAGGGAAACCCCTGGGTTTAAGTCTACCCTGGGCTAGTCAAAAAACGGAACCCTGCAACACACCGCCTCCATGAAGAGGACGTTGCTGTCGCAGGAGACGTTGGCCACCCGAAAGACGGGGGACATTTCATGCTGGCCGGGGGCCACCTCGTTGTGCTTCACGGCCATGGGGCAGCCAACCTCCAGCATCACCGCCTGAGCGCGGTCCAGGAGCTCAGCGACCTTGCCCGGGATCGGCTGGAAGTAGTTCAGGTCACCCTGCTGGTGTCTCGTTGGCAACTTCCCGAAAAGCGTGCGCCCCGTGTTCACGAGGTCCGGCCGCGCTTTGAAATGCTCAGCGCGGATCACGAAAAACTCCTGCTCCCAGCCCAAGTAGCTGAACATGGTTGAAGTGCCTTTGCCAAGTCCAATTGCCTTCAACATCCGAAGGCCCTGGGTCGTCACGGCATCCATGGATCGCAGCAGAGGCGTCTTCTCGTCGATGCACTTGCCAAAATGTGTGACGAAGGCGCAGGGGATGTAGAGCGTCTTGTTCAGTGCGAAAGGCGGCGAACTCCTATCCCAGGTGGTGAAAGCTGCCGCGGAGTGCGTCACTCGCAAGCCACCGTTGGGAAAAGATGAGCCGTCGGTCTCCCCTTGGAAAAGGCGCTCGTGGGGCAGGCACGCCTCCAAGATGCAGCCCTTGATTTCCCCATTCCCCAATCACGAAGCACTCTTTCACATTGGAAATCGGCGTCGGTCCCGCCTTCATGGGCTTCGTGACAAACTTTGAGGAGAACTCCAAATCGATCAGCGTGTCCTGAGCTTTCTCGCTGCGAATGCATCCGCCAAGGTCGCCAAGGTGATCCTCCCATCGCTCCCGCCTGCTTGTAGGCACCCAGCATGCCGCCCACTGCCCCTCCGCCGCCGCGAAGGGGAAAGAACCAGTGGGCGAAATCCACGCAGCCACGCTCTCGAGCCTCAATCCGAAGTCTTACTGTCGGGTGAAAGTACCCTCTCTCCCACTAACATGGCGCCTGCAAAAGGAAAAGAATCTTTCAAGTACCTCCCACAGGTACCTCCCACCGGTATCATATTAGTCGGAGGAAGGGCAGACAGCATCTTCTTTCTTTGGGTGAGTGCAGGTCACAGACCAGATTTCAGCGGGGCAACCCACTCGAAGAGCACGTCGGCAATGACTTTCTGGTCCTCCTCCGAAGTTGGCTCTCCGCTGATTAGGCACTCTTGGAACCGCTTCACGACCGGCGCGGGCAGCTTCTCGGACATGACCTCAGCTTCGTTCCCGGGACGAGCGGACCGGACCCGGCGTTTTCCCGTTTTCTGTTCGCCGAGGCAAAGCTGCTTTCATGTGAGACTGGCGGACTTAGGATGGGCAGGGCATGGGCATGCAGCCAAAGTGCCTTGTCGTCAAACATGCAGGTCCCTGCCGCATCCAGTGGGTCTTTGGTAGGCATGACCACGCCGGTGACGGCCGTCACCGCTTCCATTACTGCTGCCGACGTGCTCTGCCCCATCGCCTGCGTGCAAACACGGCGCTATAACTAACCAGCAATGCAGCACTCAGCAAACACGTCATTGATGTCTCCACCTTGTGCCGCGCTAGAAAGTATACAGCAAGGAGGTCCAATCTGGACAACTAAAATCAAAGCTACAGCTTTTGAGCCCAATTGAGAATGCAGCTTGTTCGGCTGTGCAGCTTTGTCTTTGCCTTGGAGCACTTGCCGCATGCATGTCCCTTTTACGTGTGCATAGCTCCTGGGCCGAGCGTTTCTGACTATGCACACATTGCTATACTTGCACACTGACCTTCGTTCTTGTGGTTCTCCAACATGATCTAGAGGCCGAATCGGCACATCCTCACGGATCATTCCAACCTCCATCGAGAAGACATTCATTCCCTAGTGACGAAGCTGCATGTGTGCGCAGCTGCACATTGCCTTCTCTTTCTGAGGGCAACCTGATGTCGACCTTGTACCTCATGACACGTCCGCCAAAGCTGAGTAATCAGCCTGCTTCAGCTCGTGATCGGTGGAGTGCTCGAAGCAAACGACGTCGGTGCGAAAATGGAACTTTGACTAGGTGATTCCTCGTTTTCCTTCGCTTCCCTGTGCCAGGCCGACCCGGAGCCTCCCGTGGAAGGCTTGGCTTGAGCCTCTGGAAAAGCTCTTCCCACAAGCCATCCTCGTAGGGTTCCAGCATGGTGGCGTCTGCGCGGGGCGGAGCCATCCAAAGGTTCAAAGCCAGGTGTCCGCCGGGACCCCCTCCCTGCGAAACGACCTCATGAAACCAGCTGGCCGGGAGGTACAGCAGGTCCCCCACCCCCAAGTCAGCCACAAGGTGCCGACCCCGAAGGCTCTCGGGAATAGGCTCAGGGCTGCCCGGCACCGTGCTTCCTCTGCAAAAGCTGTCGGGCAAGGTGTCCGCACCTGGCTCTTCGTCTTCCAGGGCATCATTGAGCAATTCCTCGAGTTCTGCCTCCTCGTCCTCGCTCGTCCCGGCCGAAGCCGTCCGTCTCAGTGCCGAGGCGGAAGCGCCGTCGCTGCGCAAACCGGGGACGTACGAGATGAGGCCGTTGTCGTGTAGCTTGGCCTTCTGAACACCCACCGGTGACAAAATATCCAGGCACCGCGGGCTGAAGAGGCGAAACTCCTTCCTCCCACGTAACAGCACATAGATGTTGTCATGAAAGTCATGGTGCAGGCCCGAGGACGAGCCAGTGGTAGACCTACCAAACCACATGTTGTACTGCACCGGCACCAAGTTCCCCAAAAGCTTGGGTCGCAACGTAGCGCAACCTTCCAGCAGTTTGAGCACATGGGGCGCTGCAAGGGCCCTGGGTGTGCCATCATCGTCTTCCAACGCCTGCGTAGTCAAGTAGCCTCACTTGAGTCTCGAACACCTTCCCAGTTTGCGCATGCTCGACTCTGAAAGGAAACCCATATACCAGAAGAAAAATAATGGGCCCCTTAAAGCATACAACGCTTTAACCATCACCTTTGCCTGCTTTAGAGGACCCCCCCTGAAGAGTTTTCAGCTGAACCTTGCCGGGCAGCCCAGCTCGCTGCCAGCCTCGAGCTCTTTGCAGAACTGCCCCAGACGGGTTTTCTCCCTGCTGCGGTCGTCGCTTTGCCCGAAAAAGCTGGAGCTGCTGCGGCGCCGCTCTACTACCACCTGAGTCAGAATCAAACCCGGTATGAAAATGGTCTACCCAGAACCATGCTTCAAGAATTAAGAAGGCGGCCGCTATTTATGGTTGGGATTGTCCCTTACTAACCTTCATTTACCCGGGTTTTGATTGTGCCTCACCTGGGGACAGTAGCAAGAATGTGTTGCCCACAGGCTCCGCGATGAAATGCGCGGCTTCCTTTTGGACTTTTGGTTTTCCCCTCAAATACCAACCAGGTCAGCAATATTGAAAAGCACCCATTTGTCCCTTACAACCCCTCTAGTAGGGTGTGTTGTTGATGATCGTTGCCCAAACCCGCGAGGCGACCTGCACCATGTCGCTTTGTGGCTGGCATCTTCCATGGACGGAGTTTACCACCTCTGTTTGAACCGGCTTTGGAATCGAGTCGCATGTAAATGGCGTCATATCTTTATGATGCTGCAGGCTTCCATAAAGCAATGATCAATGTTTCAAGCGCCCTGCCTCACAGCGAGCTGCCGCACTCCTCTGCATGGCCTCGGCTCCCTCGCTTCCAGGCAGCGCCCATTTTGCAGCTTCCCCCTTCAGGCCGAACAAGGCCCCCAAGGCGCCATGCGGCTCACCCTCCGTGCTGATGATCAGCGGCCTCCTTTGATTCACGAACTCAAAGAACTCCTCCGGCTTCAGGGATGCCCAGGTCCTTCGCGCAACCTGGCCACCCCCACCCACGATGCTTGGGCCTGCCTCCAGAGGGCAAAAGCCACGGTACCCCGCGCGCAGCTGAGATTTTCCCTCGCGGGCGATGTGGCGCCCGCGCCGGGACTTGCCATGCTTCGCGGCGCACATGTCGCTGGAGCCACAGGTAGCGGTGGCAGTCTTAAGTGGCCAGGGCTTGGGAACTGATCCTCCTGCCCCTGAAGAGCAACGCTTTAGAAAACTTCAGGTGCCAACAGGAAAGGGCCTAAGCAGTTCGTGCAAGTGTAGATGTTCGAAATTGCATGAGCTCAAAACACGATACTGCAACACGGCAACTTTTTCGCAACTGCCACATCCCCATTGACTAGATTGCCACGCTCAGCTCGAGCGTACCCTTCCCTGCAAGCCCACACACCTATTACATCACCCTGGCAGAACTTGTATATGTTTGTATGCATGCCCAAACGTCCCTTGCGTTCTGGGCTGGCTGCCGTGATACTTCTCCTGCACAGGCAACCAACCCCGCACGTGCATACACACGCATGCGAGCATGGGCGCTCACATTACATTTCGTCACATCGGATTGCATTGCCAATGCACATGCACACCCACTCACATACACATGGCAAAAGTAATCTAAACATATACCACGTGAGAGGCGCACATGTATGACCTCATCCAAGCAGGCCAAAAACACCCCAACGCAAATGGCCGCCTTTTTCTCAAACTTGAATGTGGCTCTCTTGTCAGTGTAGGTAAGGACCTCCCCACACGGAGTTCAAGATCTGGCCCTGTTGACTTGGTTCGCCGCGCTCTCGCCCGGAGACATAGGGGCTGAGCTCGGGGAGGCCTCGGAAGAAGTCGGTGTCCGGTGAGGTCACCGGCGCGGCGACGCCCAGACCCGGCGCGGCCGCGGCGGGGCCGGCGACGCCGGAGCCTAAGCTCGTCTCCAGGTCGCGGACGTCGCGGGCGTCGCGGGCATCGCGGGCGTCGCGGGCGTCGCGGGCCTCCCGAGCCTCGAGGATCTTTTTCAAGCGCTCGATCTCTGCTGAGAGGTACTTGTTCTGCTGCTCCACACGCTTGCTCCTCACCTCCACACCTTCAAAACTGCGCTCTTTGGTCTGCAAGTCACGCTCTTTGGCATTCAAGTCCTCCTGGCGTTTTCGAAGCCGTTCTTGGGACTTTGCTAGGGCCTGCTGTTGCTGTTCTGTGTCGGAGCGATTGCGTGCCTCCTTTCGCCTCATGTCATCCTCCCGCCGTCTGACATCCTCCTCCCTTCGGCTGATCCGTTCCTCCCAGACTCTGATGTCTTCCTCCTTGCGCCTGAACTCTTCCTCCTTTTGAGCGAATCGCTGCTGCACTTCCGCGAGCTGCTTGCTCTTGTTTCGAGCAAACGTCTCATCCATCTGCTCCAGCCGCTTCTCGCGGTGAAGAAGCTCAACCTGCTTCAGATTCAGCTCCTGGCCTTTCACCTCCACGCTATCCCTCATCTTGTCCAAGACGCTTTTGAACTCCTCCAACTTGTTGGAGTTCTGCACGTATGCCTCTCGCTCCCTGTCCAACTTCTGAGTCTTCTGAGAGCAGCTGGTGGCAACTTCGCGCAGCTTCTTCTCCTTTTGACGTAGGGCGGCCTCACGCTTGTCCAGGAGCTGCTCTCGATTCACCAGCTCCACATAGCCATGCCAAAGCTCTGGATGTAGTGGTTGCTGGCCAAAGTCTTTGATCTGCGACTTCCCCTCCTTGCCATCTTCGTCTTCGTCGTCCTCTTCGTCGTCCTCTTCATCCTCTTCCTCTGACTCCTCCTCTTCCTCCTCCTCCTCCTCCTCGTCTTCCGCATTGACCTGGCCGCGCGTGTTGCTTGCCAGGTGTGTGGGCTTCTCAAAGGGAATCCCAGCGCGGCGCTCGGCGCCTTCGGGGTCTGCGTCATGTCCTTGGGCCATTCCTTCGACATCTGGAGCTGACAGGCTGCTTTCACCTGCCTCAGGTGAGTTCGAGCTCTGGGATGTCATCTTCTGTGGGGCAGCTGGATGTTTGGGTCGTGGAAGCGTAGCAATGTCGAGCCGGGCCGGCGTGTTGTCTGGCCCCTTTTCAACAGGCACTTCGTCTGGCTCTTTGGCCAGGTTGACTCTCACAGGTTCCGCTGCCATTGCATGGGCCCCACTTGGCAGGAGCTGGATTGCTCCAGCTAATTGAGCCCAGAACGAACATGACCACAAAAAGGCGACAATGCATTCTGAGCATCATGCGTGGACATGTACTCTTGCAAATACGTGTCACTGTGGAAACTTCGGCAACTGCCAGTCCTCTGCAGCCCGAGGGGCCGAACCCGGTGCTTTGGACTGCTGCAGGCATCCATCCAAAAACAGCGCGCATCCCAGCCAAACGAACCGTGAGGTCATGCCTGTTTCACATTGCATGTCAATGTGGCATGTGCAGTTGGGATTTCGGCTGATCACAAGACACGTGAAGGCTTTCATGGGAGTGGCTCAGGAGCCATAGCGCACTCTGACCATCCCCCTCTGCCAAATTCAACAGGAGTAGCCAGTGAAAGTAGCCAATTCTCAAGTTGATAGAGCCAAAGGACGCAGGCGCAGCACTGGCGCGGCACTGACCCGCAGGGGGCCTGACGCGGGCCCTTCGCGGCGCCCAACTCGGGGATGTTAGAACCTATGGGGCCGGCTGGATTGGACCACCCTTCCACTTGCTACACCAGTCCAAGTTGCAGCGCTGACCATCGCCCCCTTGTTGCAAGTTGCAACTACTCTGATTCTTGCATGTTTCACTAACAACGCAAGGCATGGCGATACATGAGCCGCTCACTCTGCAGGAAGATGTGGGGACGAGGGCTCTGAGCAGGCTATCTGTGAATGCGAGAGTCATAACCAGCGCTGGAGTTCCAAAGAACTTCCCACTGCCGCGATCCTGTACGCACAACGTTGCGTCGCAGCTGCAACACCCAGCAACCCCCTCCTCGCGCACGCACGTCACAAACAATGGCTTAAAGCGTTCGTGTTGGTGAAGCAACGCGCTTCAAATGCAAAGGCCGCGGCGGTGCTTCGCCGGTCATGTGTTCCCGCTTGCCTGCTGTCTGTGGGGGGAAAAGGGGGAAACATGTTTTTGCGCAGCAGAAGGGTTCCCATTGTAGAAGGGGCAAGGCGGAAGAGCTCGCAAGCGTTCGCGTACCATTAGGGAAGGCACCGAATGTGTGGTTCTTATGACTTGCAAGATGCCGTTTTTTATTGCCCCTGCGTCCATCTTAGGTTTTGAGCAGCGTGTTGCCTCGTTGCGCAGCTGCGATATTTCGGGGATGGTCTCCGAGGTTCTGACTTTTCAGCTCATCTTTTTCTAAAGGCATTGCCAAAGCGTCAAGACTCCTCAATCACAGGGTGCTGACAAGTTTGCTTGCGCCTTTGGCACCCACTCGATTCAAAAGTTCCTCCCCTCAAGCCCCATCAATATGCATGAAGTCTCACCCTCCAATCGGCGTCAAGTGCTTCCTGGCCTCGCCGACTTCGCATGCATGGCACTCACGCCACATTTGAACCCACAGGTGTGGATGCCATGCTCGTGCGACGGAGCAACTAAGAACAGCACGAGGAAGCAACGTAAAGGCCCAGTCAGCCGCTTGATTGTTGCCAATCATGTGCTGGCTCAAGGGCTTTGCCCCCCAAGAGTCAATGCCGCCAACTCCCATCTGAATGGCATCGACGCAAACAGCCTGGATGCATGCGCAGAGCGCTGGAAGGCAACAAGGGCGCTGCCCCTGCTTCCATGAAACTAAGGCAGGTTTTGGGCCAGTTTGCGTGAAAATAGAGCTCAGGGTTTGAGCTTAGGGTGGGTTTTGGGCTTAGCTGCTAGGAGACGATGCTTGAAAGCTACGGCGTCAAACCAACATCCACTTTTGGGGGTGGGGCTTAGGGTGGGCTTTAAGTGTGGTTGCTTGGGCTGGCTGGAGCCGAGCCGAGACGCAGCATCCACAAAAAGCGGGGGGGAAAAAAAAAACAAAACAAAACAAAAATGATGAAACGGCATGTCGTTTTCCGCGAGTTCACAAAGAGCCAAGGAACTGTGGTAGGACGCTCCACAAGCTCCCCGGCATGCAGGAACTTCTGCTTTGCTTTGATGTCGCCGCCGTCGAAGTCGCTGAGATTGTAATGATGACACTGCATCTCTAGCAAAGGACTCGGATCCTTCGGCTACTCTCAAGTTATGTTTTGGAACATGGGGAACTTCACCAGCGTAGCCTGCAAACACACAACCATAGACGTTATTGGCGCACCGATCCGAGCCGTTTCTTGCCCAGTCTCCAGGGCGCAAGTTGCAAAGTGTACCGTTGTTCACAAGAGGCAACACCGCGGAATGTTTCAAGGGAAGCCACGCGCAGAAGCACTTGAGGAATGCGACTGTCCAGAACGCCACGCCGTGTTTCAGCCGATTATGCACGTGTTTCTTCGAGGTCCTTTGCGCCGATGAAAAGCAGATTGCAAGGCCCGGCAGACCGCTTCAGCGCCATCCACCTGGTCTGGAACTTATTGCCGTTCTCCTGGGGCCGGACGTACTTCACAGTCTGCTCCGAGATGCTGCCCTGGAACAGCCCCACTCTGGCGGAGGCATGCCGATCCAGGTAGGACTCAAAGGGACCCCGCCCGAACCACTCCACATCTTGGAAGCCCTCCGTCAGGACGGTCGAGAAACCAATCCGCATGGGAGCCGGCTGGTCCTCGCGACTCACGGCGAAGTGATCTAATGACCCCGGATTAAGCCCCTGTTCCTCAATATGCGGGTGTTGCATCCAGGGTCAACATGATATAATCATCGGTTGCGCCACTGTCACCATCGCAACTTGCTCAGGTCCTTGATGTCGAGGAAGAATTGTGTGAGGTGCGACTCCTGGCTCAAAACTACAACGTTGCCGTCGTCCACCGCTAAATACTTTCCGTTGCGTTCCAGCGACACCTGCAAGCAAAACAGCTGGGCCCAATAGCCCCGCGTGCCGTCGCGGAAGTCAGGCAACCAATCCCTCTAGCAAGGATCAATGACCTGACCCTCAACTGTCTGAGAACCATTAGTTGTTGTCATTTGCCAAGCCGAGCCCAGGATTTGAACGAATCGACCAACACGAAGTGCACCTGACATCGCAGCTTTTCAGCCATTTCTGTGAGAAACGTTACCGGCTTCGCTACTTACACAAAGGGAATTGTCCCATCATTCCGATCCACTGTTGCCATCTTTTTCCCAGCTGCAGCTCAGAGTTGACCTTCTGTGCGGGCGGCCTGGCGCCTTAATCTGCGCCCGCCTAAACTGGGCTGTCCTCAGATCCCCCGCTAAAAATTTAACTTTTAGTGGGTTAAATGGAAATCCAACAGGAACCGGATGGCTGGGAACCGCCAAGTAAAGTGGACCCCTGGTTTGGTCAGAGCTCTGGAGCCGCCTCATCCCCCGAGCGCACGGGGCCAGCGCCAGCTCTGCGCCGCAGCGTCCAGCAAGGCGCGGCATCCCCGATGGCCTGCACCGGCCTGGGGCGTGGGATCGGACGTGCATGGAGCCATAGGGCTGTGGGTCAAAAATGGGTAGCCAAAATGGAACCCTGGTAAAGGGAACAAACGACTAACACCTGCGGTCCCCTGGTGGTTTGATTTTGACCCATACCCCCACATGGGGTCTCTCAAAGTCCCATCAAATGGTTGGGTTCCTCCCCTGTAAATACTTGCTAAAAGCGGAGGGTGTCCACCATTTTGATAAAACTCGCATGTGAACCTTTGGGCATGTATCCCCGGTTTGTTCGTGACATGACACATCAAAGCATAGCATGGCCCAGTTGTGGGAAGCGCCAAACGGGCCTGAAGAAAGCCGAAACCTCTGAGCCACGCAAATGTCCTGCGCTACTCAGCCCTGCACGAGCTTGCATCCTCCGTGATCGGCACAATGCCGTTGACCAGTAACTCTGCCTCCGTCTTGCCAGTCACGGCCTTGCACGAACGCGGCTAACAGTCTAAAAGAAGGGTGAGCTGAAAAAGTAAGGAATAGTCATCATGGTCGTCTGCAACTACTTGACATAGGTGAGCTCCAAATAGGAGCTCCAAACAAGGAATAGTCATGGTCATCTCGCTTTGCAACAGCCCAGTGCCTGCAGCGCTATCTTGTCGCCATGCTCAAGTGGCTGTCCGGGTTCCTTCGCCTCAGGTTTCGATGAAAGAAGCCGGTCTTCCTGCGGGCCTTTGACATCTCAACCGGAGCACAAACTACGGCCGCTTGTGGCCCCCAATGGATACAAACAAAAGAGACCCTAAGCCCCAATCCTCCGGCCCCGCTCAGTCTAAGCTCCACATGTTTCAAAACTGATTTGTTCTGCCCTTGCTGTCGGGCGGCAGCATTCAGCGTGATCGACTGCCACTCTCCCATGTCATTCCAGCGTGCCCTCACCACTTTGCCCTCAACGTCCAAATGGCGATCACAATGGCAACGGAGGTATCCTGAGACGGACGGTTCGACACGGCTGTCGGCCGTCACCCAGGCGCTGCATTTGGTCCAAGGCTCCGATGCCCCCCGCAACCGCCGGACGCTTCTCAACGGTGGCTGGGCGCCACTTGGCATTCACAGTGATGCCCATGGAGGACACGCGGTATGTCACATGGAGCTTGGCGCCTCCTGCAAGTTGAGAGGGACTCCAAAGGCCTTCCCGGCCCACCTGTTTCCAAAGACCTTCCTGGAGGGACCTTTCTCATGGGGAGCCCCTCCTATCTCTGGTGCGCAGTTTCCATCCGCCAACTCCATCCGCCTTGCGTTTTGGCTCCTGCTCCAACTGCCAGTGTCGCTGAGACATCCACAAAGCCAGGTCCCGGAGCTGCTTGGACTTCACCCAACCTTGGTAGACCAACACATGTGAAGCATATGCATTGCGGCCTGACACCCTGCTTGATTCCGCAACCTGCAAAAGGGGGCAGACAGGGAGTCAGGGCCATTTGCACGTCACGCAAGCGCTGAATGATTCTCCAAACCGGACACGCCCTGCCACGTGCTTGATTTGCTTGGCGCATATGGCCTACTTCCCAACGTGAGATTTAGTCCGATACTGTTACAACCACCGCCACTGTCCGACAGGGACAGCTTTATCAGCCTTAGACACTTCGGTTTGGCCGTCGTGCGATTTGAAACATTGAGGGTTGCTGCAGCAACAGGCTGGCCTCTGGCAGTGAGAGCTTCTTGGAGGGCTGTTCAAGACTATTGTGGCGCGGTGCTAGGCCCCAGAGTCTTGCGCACGGCGCACGCCATTTCGCGCTCCGCAACAGCCCCGCTGAGGTTTGCAACAAGCCGCTACGTGCAAGCACCCTCAACCAAGGGCGCTGCCAAAAACTGCCCCATGGAGAACACAATCTTTGCGCCCACAAAATCATTTCTCTGACCCCCCGCCCCGGAGAAAAAAAACACACACACACACACCACACACACCACACACACACACACACCACACACACACACACGCAAAAACAGGCCTTGGCTCAGGCGCCCGCCGGCTTCTACGGGCGAAGAAGAACCCGGAAAATCGTTCTTGCAAAGAGATTGTTTTGGTTGAAGGGATTTGGCAATGCGGACAAAAAACCTTTGACTGCCGACAACCGTGGTTTATTCCGGATCACCTGCGGGGAATGCAGCACCATGTTCAAGCCTCGAAGGAATTTGGCTACGTAGAAACGAAAACACATTTCAAGCACCAATCACTCGCGGGGAACGCCGGGCCACCCCTCGAAAGAAACAAGCTTTGGGGCTGAACAAATCGACCAAGCGGATCGAGCCTTTGTGCTTCAGAATGTGTGTGCGCGTGTGTGATAGCACTACGCCTTGGCATCTTGCTCATTTTGGGCTGGTTGACCCCTCATCGCCCCCCACCCGAGTGGTGATCCGGAATCTCAAAAAATATGTTTGCTCAAATGTGCAGCTGTGTCTGCCTCCGGCTTGAAAATGGCGCAGCATTCCCCAAAAAGGTGATTCAGACCCCCTTCAAGAAACAACCTATCGCTCAGTGTTTTACGGAGTCAGGGGCACTCGCGTGCACTCCAAATCCAAATGAGCGACAGGGCGCTAGTTTCAACATGGAAAGGTCCATTTCCCAAAGTGCACTCAGATTTTGAACGGCACTCATTTGACATGCCAGCATGTTTGCATTTTGTGAGTGACATCTTGGTCATGCCAACCCAAGCCATCCGGGCATCTCTGAGCCAGGATGCAGGCTAGCATTGCGTCCGGCATACTTCCAGGGAGCACAATGTGCCTGCAGATTTGCTCCTGCCGCAAACGCAAGTGACGGCAGCCACCTGCAAACCCACACCCAGCACCAGAGGCTGCCTTAAGGGGCAGGGAGATTCTCCCCACTTCATGAATCTATCCTTCCCCATGTTTACTGGAGCCTCGGAGCGCAACCTCCTCGCCCAATTCCATTTGGCTGAGTTGGACGTTTTTGGGCCATCCTTTTTTTTTGGGGGGGGGAGGTTGGCTTGCAGGGAACCCAAGAACCATTCGGCTCGCCCGCTCCGTAGTCGTTGTCCGTGGGCGGCCGCCAAAAGTTGGGCCTCAGTGCCTCTGCCAAGAGCTCCAGGCCCTTCAGGGCCAAGCTCGTCAGACATCCGCCATCGATGCCTCGTGTGCCGATCGTTCTAAGATGTTCCAAGGCCCCTCTTGGTCATGGGTCAAAATCCAAATCGTACCCCTAGTGAACATCCCAATCCCCACTAAAATATACTAAAATGGGTGGTGCACCTACCCCAATGGTACCGTTGGTTTTGACCCACAGCCTCTTGTGTTCAAACGTTACGTGAAAATCTGCGGGTTTGCTATAGTGCCCAAACCTGAATGAAGGCGTTCTCCAGTCAAGGACCCACATCATGGCATGGTGGGCATCTTACCCCAAGGTGAGCTCGCCATGGAGTATGCGAGTTTAAATGAGCATGAGCCAGTCAGCTTCGGTCGAACCACGGCATTTTTGTTGGCCCTGCTGCGTGCCAAAAGCTCGCCGGCAGCAATGGTCAGGACGCTCCCGGAATGATCGACTTGCGGCTCTGGTCCCTCTAATGCGGCTGCCTCATTTCTTGCCCGTGCCGTGACGGCATAGAATCCCGATGCTCGTTCGACCCGAGCAGGTGGTTTGTGGGTTCGCTTTGAAATGGCTTGGGATTTGGAGACACCAACCTGCAGTAACCTGTCAGCCTGTCAGCGGTGGGGAGACAAGCATACCATCACCGAAACCTCTTGGCACGAAATTCGAGTCCAGAAGCCGCCGGATGTCAACTTCTATGACCAGGTAAAGATTTGGGATTGGAACGCAACCGCCATCGCCAAAGAGCAGCGGCATTATGCAGGCCGCGTGCATTATTTCCCATAGATGCCCCGACCCACAAAGCGACATGCACAAAAAAAACACCTAATTCCTGTGTGCAAAGCCCAACAGAGCGCCAGGGTGCCGGGGAAGCAGCAGAGCAAAGCTGCCACTGCCACTGTTCCCAGGCCACCTCCATGCCTGCTGGCATGCAGCCACCAGGCTGTCCTCAGCTTGCATCACGGATGCAAAGCAAAAAAATGCAAACATGACCCGCTCGCCTCATGTCGAAAAGTAATTTGGGATGCTTGGGTGGTTGGGGGGTAGGGTGGGGGTTGGTCTTTGGGTTTCGGATTGTTGGGGGCGCTTTCATCTTGCTTCCGGTTTTTTGGACCCCTCACCAGTTCCATTTATCGTCCCATCAAAATTATGCTTCGCCTGCTGAATTGTACACCATGTGTTTCATGCCTATTCCCTAGCATCCCCCTTGCTCTCTAGGCCCAAGTCGGTTCCTGTCTCACACGGTGCCAAGAGTCGCATGCAGGCTGTCACGAGCAAATGAGTCTCACCACTTACCTCCAGGTCAATGCACCACAGCACCTGTTGCTCTCGATCCGATCAATCATTCCAAGAAGCAGGAGAAGAGCTTGCCAACTTCGTGGGCAATTGCAGCACCTCCGAGCTGTGTGCTTTGGTGGTCAGGCCTGACAGCTCTTCGCTGTAACACAAATACGATGCAAACCAAAATCCGCTGCCTGGCAGTTTGCCGCTCTCGATAGTCATACCGTTCACGGAAATTTGCCAGGAGAAGTCCAAATGTTCCAGGGACAAGAAGTCATAACCTCGGCAGGATGGGAAACTGGCTGGGTAGGCAAGCGGCATCGTTTGATGTGTTCCGTTGCGAAGTAGCATGGGAACTGGGAACGGGCACCAAGGACAGCAATGCCTTGGAATTGCTTCAGCATGGACCGCTTGCTTTGCGCGACACGCATCCAAGCGCGAGGCGGAATGGCTGGCAACATTGTTCCAACTATTTTCTAGACGAATCGGGAGAACATCTTCCAGTGCGGAGGTTCCCCACGTGACCCAGCCAGCCACTGTCCCAGGCCAAAACTAGCGAAGCTGCCTGACACTGACGAAGCCCGACTGGACGAGAGGCCTGTGGTTTGCCCAAATCTAGATTGCAAGCTGGGAGCAGTTGTGGACTTCGATCTGTCCAGCTTTCAAGTCCAAAGCTTTGAACACAACCGGTTGCATCACCTTCTTGGTCTCATGCAGGTGCGGGTTGGGGGTCCTGTCCGGCCGCACCAGCCCATTGATGCAAAAGTTCAGGTCCGATGGAGTGCCCTCCTCCCCAAAGTCGCCGCCGAAGGCCCAGATCTGCTTGCCATCCTTCTGGGTTTCCACGCCCTGGTCCAGCCAGTCCCAAATGAAGCCCCCCTGCAACACCTAGCAGCGTTCGACGGAAAGGCACGGAAAGCAGCGCGGAGAGGGGGCAAGTTCAGCTGAGGCACCCCATGATTGGCAATCACATCCCAATACTCCTTGAAGGCACCCAGGGAATTGCCCATGGCATGGGCATATTCCACCATAATCAAGGGAAGCGCTCGGACATCTGCATCGAAGCGCGTGCCGTAGTTCTCCAGCTTTTGCTGGCTGGGGTACATGGGGCAAAAGATGTCGGTGTTCACATCCTGCGGTTCTTCTCTCTGCGGTCCCTGCTCGTTGCGGGCAAAACATTGAAAGCTACGTCAAAGATTCACGCTTGCGGTCTGCTTCGGCTGAGGTCATGGCAATGGTCTCCATGGTCTCAGTTGCCCAAACGGGCTCGATGCGCGCATGCTCGTACTGCACCGGGCGAGTGGGATCGCGCCGTTTTAGCCACCTCGATGCACAAAGAATCGAGGACTCGGGCTCACAAATGCACTGAGCTGCGCGTATGTCCGATGATGATTGATTCCTCAGCTGGGCTGTGAACGAACAACTCGTGAGCTACTCCTTTCCAGCCGTGCGTCCGTTTCCCGCCTCATTGCCCAGGGACCAAAAAATGATACTCGGAAAGTTCTTGTCCCGCTCCTCGGTTCGCTCAATTCTCTAAACTTCCAAAATATTTTGAATGGCAGGGTGATGCAAACTGAGGCGGCAGCCACATAGCGCTGCACTCTCGCCATGTGCGCCTCTCCCCATTCCTCCTGCATGGCTTGGTAGGCGAGCGAATTGACTTCAAGCTGCGCACTACAACACTTTTAGTAGCTGCCCGCTCGCACCATCTGTGTCGAAACGAGCACGTCCTTGTTGGCCAATGTTGTAGACCAATTAAAATCCACGCCATGACTTTCAATGTTGGCCTCATCCACGACGTACATGCCCATTTCGTCACACAGCTCATAAAAGAGCGGGTCGTTCCTTAACTTGTGGCGTGAAAGCTACAAACATGCCATCTGGTTGCGTTGTTGGGGGAGACACAAATGCAACTGCCCGCTGTGAGATGTGCAATGGGAGGCAAGCAACGGATAATGCGCACAGCGGACGGCATTGAAGTTATTCTGCTTCATCAGCTCAATGTCCTCGGAAAGTCTTGGCCAGCGCGAAAGTGGTTTGCTTGCTTCGCTGTGTTTTCAGCCTGAGCGCAAACAGAGCGTTCAGCGAAGGCTCCGATATCATAGACTGGCGCGGGACAACATGGCCCTTCTTGGGATCGTGCTCGTGCCGATTGACACCACGGATTGTGAGTTCACCTCTGAGTGCCAAACAGCGATGCACGTGCGGGGTTGGCAGGCAGCCATTTGTGAATGCCCATGCAGCATGCTGTATGCCGCATATGAAATTCACAGTACTTGTTTGTGAGACCGGAGAGAGAGAGAGAGAGAGAGAGAGAGAGAGAGAGAGAGAGAGAGAGAGAGAGAGAGAGAGAGAGAGAGAGACAGAGAGAGAGAGAGAAAGAGAGAGAGAGAGAAAGTGAGAGAGAGAGTGAGAGTTGTGCTGCTTCCACCACTTCTTCTTCTTCTTCTTTCTTCTTCTGTGCAGGGCCCTTAAGTCATCAAGTTGACTTGCTTGCCAAGCTGCTACCATTCAGCAGCAGCCTGCCCTGACGGATCTCAATCGTGCGGAAGCCGACATTCAGGCTCAACTCGGCGGCGTCAAAGGTGCACTTTCGCGGGTTTTTCAAAGGGAATCAACTGAGTCATAATCAAAACCCGGTACACAAATGGTTCACCCACAACCATGTAAAGAATTAAGCAGGCGGCCACAGCTATATTATGGTTGGGATCGTCCCCTACTAACCTTCATCTACCCGGGTTTTGATTGTGCCTCAACTGGAATGAACATCAGCCATGGGAGGAATCAGCCCATAGGGGAAGGAAGGAATCAATCAGCCACGTGTTTTTTGATCGTGGGAATCAACTTTAAGGACACATCAGACATGGGAAACTGACCCCGACGGAGCTTTGGCACATTGGGTTCCAATCACGCCGGGCCTCTCAAATTTCACCTCTGCCCCCTCACCCCACCCCCATTCGGGGGCAAATGCACCCCCTTTGGGGGCAGGTGCACTCTGGCAAAGTCGGAAACAGGACGCCAGGGTCAACTGACCCATGGGTTTAATCCATGTGCTTTGCAAGCTCACGCTTGCAGGCTAGGTGCTGCCTCTGCTGGCTCGGTGCCTTTCTTCAGCACGACCTTGGCAACATGGCAACACGTGCAGCGCCAAGCTTCGGAAAACATGCTTGACGCATTGCTTTCATGCAGGCAGCCACAAGCTTGTAGAGATGGGGCGCCTGGCCCAAACTCGAGCACTCATTCCGCCGGCTCTTGAAGGTGCTTGCTGTCAATATTGCCTATATTTGGCTGTGGGTCAAAACTATGTACCCAAAGTGGAACCCTGGCAAGTGGCTACATGGACCAAAACCTGCGGTCCGCTGGTGGTTTAATTTTGACCCATGCCCCTATGCCCGTCGTAGACAACGGCGGGCACGGGCCTCCGCGCTCCAAAGCAAGGGCTTGAGCATCGCGCTGGCCCTGCCGGCGGCGCCGCTGCCGCGCACTGCGACTGGCACCTCAAAGTCCGCCAACTTCGTGGCGCCGTCCAGAAGCCTCGCAGCTGCGTGAGGCGGCATGGCGGCTGGCACAAGCCCTTGGCCTTTGGGCTGTGCCGCGTGCATTGAGTGACCAAATAATGCCTGATGACTGATGCGACAAAACGACCCTTTCCTTTGTCCCGAAGGGTGTGGCCGACTTAATTGACCAGTGTATGGTCAGTGCAGCCCAAGAGCCGGCACTGGACAATGTGGTCAGCGGACCCAGAGGCCATATCCTGATGCCATGTGACCATGTGAAGCTTGGGACTCAACTCCTAGACTCTGGCAATCAGATCCCACTTTGTGGCATAGTGCTTTCTTTTGCAGCTCAGCATCGACTTCTACTTCCAGCTTGCCATCAGCCCCAGCTCGAACTTCTATGTCTCGAATGTGCTGCTTTGGCCGGGCATAGGCATACACGTCGCGCGTAATGCCAGCAAACCACCACCTGAAGCCATTGCGTTTGGATAGCAGCAAGCCTTCCCAACTCAATTAATTCGTGAATGCAGAAATGCAAATCAAGCTTGTGAACGGCGCTCACATCAGATGGAAGAAGATTAAGTCAAGCATCATATCCTGATCCTCCAGGTATGCAGCAGCGCCCCAGCAAAGAACTCGAAGTGCAAGCAAGTTTTTGCCACGCCTCAGCCACGTTGGGCAATCACTCTCAGCCTTGAGTTGCGTGCAGCTCGAGCTGTGAACGACATGGGCCAGAAAGATCTTTAGCTTTACGGCCCCGGCCGCAAATGTTGAGTGATGTTGAACTCCACCTCAGAATGCGTGAGTTTGCCTCTTCATGCACCTGCAGGCACGGAATTACTTCTCACTTGCAAGCAAAGCACGGGCAGTTTGCTGTCTGTGCTGAAGCCCAGAGGCCGACCATTGAGAAAGGCATGGCAGGTATTGCAGACAGCACCCAAATGCAGAAACACTTGATAGCCACCTGCAAGCTGCAACGGAAGGCTCTCTCTGTTGGAAAAGGAAGAGCACAAGTGCCAGCCTTCGAGCCAGAGTGACGGAACCTGGAATTCATGCCGATAGAAGCCAGTTGGATTGTATTCCTTGGCCACAGGACATGGAAATGCGCGGGGAAATGCCAGCAATGAGCCATTGCCGGTATCGAGTTGCAAAGACCGCGCTAAGATCTGCCAAGCTACTGGATCTTTCCCTCGGTACCTGCTCATTCTCATCGCGTTGCGGGACTGTGGCGGTCACCAGTCCATGCACTGCCAAATGCACGAGCCTTATGTTCGGCGGGTCGCTGTGGAAAATATAGTCCACCTTGGCATGCCACCCTTTCTGTGGCAGTGCTGTCTCTCACTCTGAAGTGCAGCCAAGGCTTCATTGGTATAGATCGGGAAGCCATACCTGGGTTGGCATTTCACTACAAACAGACGGATGGACAGCCGGACACGGACGACGGACAAACAAACAAGCAAAGGAAGAGAGAGATAGAGAGAGAGATGGATACAAGGAGAGAGAGAGAGAGAGAGAGAAAGAAAAAGAAAAAACATGATAATGGCGCTTTTCCTCAATCATTCTCAGCCATTCTGATGTTGGGGCGGCTCCGCTAGGGGCCAGCCAACTTCAGGCTGGCCCAAAGCCAAAGCCAGGTCCCCCCAGTGCCGGACAGGTTGCCCATTCAGTTCCCAGTTGGCAGGCACAGGCATCCCGCCCCATGCGCCGTCATCGAAGCCCTCTTCTTCAAATCCTGCACATGTTGCGACACTTCATGTGTCAAAATCCCGTACCCCCAGTGAACATCCCAATCCCACTAAAATAGGTTCTAAAATGGGTGGTGCACCTACCCTAAAAATGGTATACCATTGGTTTTGACCCACAGCCACATGTACTTTTGGAGGCTCGGAACCCTTTGCAACCTTGGTGTGCTGTACGGGGAAGTACGGTCTTTTTTCAAGCTTCCAGCCTTTCGGAGTCTCATTGGCATGAGGTCGCCACCTCAGATCCGCTTGACGCGCTGTCACACCAAGAAATCCAGTTCTCTCCCACATGCTGTGGATCAAAAAAACCCTGCACCTGTTGGGACGTATGAAACCCTACGAATGAGGGGAAAACCATCTACCAGCTGGTGCAGCATGTTGTCCATCAGTGAATTCTATGCCCAGCATTTACCATCCAAGCCGCGCAAACTTCCATGTGCCGTTCAAGCTCCGGAATCGTTCCGACTCAGTGAGAGGCGCCCTTCGGGTGGCCAAGTCCTGCGGCAATTCTGGACGAAAAAAAATGCTCGCCTTTCTGGCGCCGCCAAGGCCATGGGTCAAAATCCGAATCGTACCCCCGGTGAACATCAACCCATCCCCACTAAAATAGGTTCTAAAATGGGTGGTGAATTCACCTACCAACCAGAATGGGATCCCAAAACGGTTTTGACCACCACCGCCACGTTGCACTCCTCGTTTTCATAGGCGAAGAAGGCGGCGCGCATGGGCTCCCTGCCATGACCAGTGGCGCGGGGATCAAAGCACTCGGAGAAGTCCTCGGAGCAAACCCCCCTCCTAACCCTTGGCACCCTCCTTGGCACTGCCCAGCCCCTAGAAGTTCATCCCAAAGGTACCCACCCTCCCCCCAAAAAAAGGGGGGAGGAGAGGCGAAACCGCAGGAGCGCAGATGGTGCTAGTTGGTCACCGCCCCATAGGCGCAGCCAAGATTCGAGGTCCATGGCTTCACGACTTCTCGCTGGTGGCAGGATCGGTACTTGTGTACTGGCGGTGACGTGGTTGGTTTGCTATGGCGGCTCGGCCCCAGTCAAACCTCTCATCTCGCAACAATTGCCATCTCACTGGCCAAAAACGGCTAGCCAGAGGTACATCTGCCATGAGTCAATGAGGGCATCTTGGTCGGACAGCACCAGCCACACAGTCTGATTTTGCTCCGTAGCGATCGTGTCTGATGGTTTCTACGTTGGTTGACAATTTGACAATCCACCCAGCAACGCAAAGCGCCCAGCAATTAGCAGGGCGCAGGCGCAGTATGCACCGAGTCCCACCTGGCAATGATAAGTGACCTGATCTGGAGCTCTTTGATGCCCAAAGGGCCGACGTGGGCACCCGAAACCCATTGACGCTTGGTCCTAAAGTGTTCTGAAGGGTTATAAAGGGCTTGCTGTAATTCTCCTTTGACCAAATTTCTAGAATGGCCAATCCGGGGTTCGGGCACTGCTCCCATTATGGTGCCATGGGTACTCGTGTGCCTCCTGCGGGCCACATCGGGCGAGAAACTTCTACGTCTGCGTCGAACAGAGTGAAACTGTTAACACATTGCCGGCGACACATTGAGTTTATCAAATGGTGCCGCCTCGCACTTAGACACTTGCAAGGTGGCAGAAAAGCAGCAGAACAGCCAGCCAAACTCGACAACAACTCTAGCAATTCGAACGAAAAAAGAAGGCCATCTGGCCATCTGACCAACACACACACACATACGGAATCCAAAACAATCAGGAGTTTCGTTTTTTTATGCTTTTACACACGCCAAGTGTCTGGCTTGCGGGCTCCGGACCCGCGTAAAAGGTGGGTTTCCAGGTTGCGTTGCTTCTGCAACACGTCTTTCACGCTGTAGGCAAGGCTTGTGATGTCGGAGTTGGGCTCGTTTACCCTTGCCCAGTTGCTCCCTGTCATCTCAAGCTGCACTCGCCCGCCTGAAACTCTGACTTTGCAGCGTGAAACGCAGGTTTCAAATACGAACCGGTTCCGCACACAGGCAATGAACTCGCTCATGTCGGAAAGGTTCACCAGAATAACTCTGGCATCCTTCAAGTTCGCAAGCATGCTTGGCGCAGCTGGCTGCAGCATGTTGAGCAGGCACACCAGCATTTCCAGAAGGCACGCCAATCCAATGTTCTGATTTCGCACGGCATTGGCTACACAGTCAGGCAGGAACTCGAAAACGAAGGCGGTCTCTTCAAGGCCATCTGCCAGGAAATGCTGAGTCAGCGCCAACCTTTCCACAGCACCCAAGGAGCACCAGCACTCCTGCGGGATTCAACCAAAACATGGGCAGCCACATGTGCAGCAATGGATGCGCTTGGGCCTGGGACCCGCAGAGCACTAAACACCTGCTGGCAGAAAGGCTCCCTACGTCGGGCCCAGCCCAGCCCCGGGCTCCTGCAACTGCCGGTAGGCGGTCCGGTCCTCCACTCGTGCCAAGCATGCCAGGCGAATCAGCACCAGGTCCTGGCACGAGAATTCCAAGGTCTCGAACAGAGCTAAAGCGACATTCCCTCCCTCCCCCCCCCCCGAGAAAAACAAAAAGAAAGAAAAACTGGAGGGGCGTTCTCTCCCAAATCCCTCTGTGGGCTGGGTTGTCAATTAGTTGTCTAACTGAGAGGGAACGAGGATCGGCTGTTGACGGCTTCAAGCATGCTACGTCTGCAGTACACCGCACGAACGCTGGCAGGACGTGGCTGAGTGGGCGGCTTGCCGGCAGAATTGCCGTTACATAACGTCGCCATACGTGACCGGTGGGGTTTAGGTGCGGACGGCTGTGTGCCGGTGGTGGAGGCAGCAAGAATGGAGGTGACGGAGGCGTTTTGCGAGGGCTTAAGTCTGTGGAGACAGCCGGATGTCTGCTGGGATTTGGATTGTAGGCTCGGTGGAGGCATTGACCGCCGCGAAAGTCCGCAAAGGGCAAGCGTTTGATGGTCAACATTCGCACCGTGCCACCGCCAGCGAGTGAACGCAGCCAAAGTTCGCCAAGGGTGCACCCAGCCACCGTTCGCCAACTCACAAGATGCCGCTACGTGAGTTACGAGAGCGCATCTGCGACAGACACCCGCCTGCTCGGCCTGCACTTTGTGCGAGCCTGCACATTCAAAGTACGCTTGAGTCGTTTGAGAAGGAGCCTTGTGCGAGCCGGCTTACACGAAACGACTCCGGACACGGTGCGAACCTCGAATTGCCTTACTGCTATCGCAAGAACCCTCTAGTGCGCAACAGTTTATGGAAAAGAACAGGCGAGAAATACAGGTGTGCATCGCAAACAGCCCTCTTTGCACATTTGTTCTGCCAGCATCCGGCCCTCTTTCCCCCTGCCTCAGGGGCGGAGGTAGGCACTGCCAAGCTGTGCGCTCGAGATGCGAGGTAGCCTGGCACTGGGAACTCGGAAGCCAAAGCAAAGGTTGATGTCTTCATTTCAAGCTAAGGCCAACGATGCTGGGCCAAAAATATCACCTTCAGTCCAAGAAGCCCCAGTAGATGCCACACGGTGAGGCATCCAGTAGGTATTTCAGGGTTCGCACGCCCTCGATGAAATTTTCGGCGCGCCTTGCCGTCAAAAACCTCGACCCACGCCCTGCACCCAGGCCGCTCATGAACCCAAGCAGGAAAAGGATGTAAAATCGTAGCACTTCTATCCCGTCGCGCTGGATGCTCTCTTGCAATTGGCGAACACTCGCGGGTACATTTTCGCCCTGCAGCATTTGCGCAAAGTTGAAGATCGAATGCAAGTGCAGCGCGCTCTTGGCATACCTGAGACCCTCCTCGCTCAACTCCCGCACGGATGGTATGACATTGGTGTAGTTGTCGATGAGGTGCAAGACGACTTTTTCAGGAACTCTCTCATCCAATGGCACCTGCTTGGCCACATTGTTGGACTTCCCGAGCGAGCGAATGGCCAGCAACACCAGGACGGCGTGGACTTGGTCCTTATGGCAACTGGCGATCAAGGCCCCCCCCCTCCCGTCCCCCGCAGAGAACTGGCTCTACCCTCCCGGCCATGGTCCAATGGCTTGTTCCCCTCTCTCTGCCTCATGCCTTCTGCCCCGCATCTGTGCCCGCCATGCGTTTCCCAAAGCATGCAACTCAAGGCTCATCGGTGGGCTGCGCCCACTTGATGGTGCGCTGGAGCATCTGCCACTGATCAGGACGAAGCTTCGCACCCGGCGGCTGCGGATGTGTGAAGATGTCATAGCGGTCAAAAAGCAAAGCCAAGGTGCCTCGCCCAAAAGTTGCAAAGATCATTCTCGCTTGGCTGAACACAAGGCTCGGAACGCATGTCTCGGTTCCCGGAAACCAGAAATGAGAACACCCCGCTCCCGCTTTTCCAGTCGAACCGAGAGTTCCTAGCTCCCAGGGAAAAAGGTGGTGCATTTCCAGCTAAGATGCAAATGCACGAGGACTCCGCGCGATCTCGCTCCATAGGCTGCTCGAAGATCACGTGAGGTCCACCCTTTGGGTCCAATTCCGGCAAACAGCTTTGCAGCTGCTCGGGGAGCTCTTTCTCCTCCAGAGATTCCGGCCAGCCCTCTTCAATCAGCCACTTGAGCCCAGCCCAGTCATGGCGTACAGGTTCGCAAGGCACCTCCTCCTCGTCTGGAACATCTGCAAAGGTCAAGGAGCTTGCGCTCATACGCCCAAGCTCTTCCGTGGTGGTTGCGGAGTTCAGCTTTTGCCGGGCGCAGGTCAGATTGATGTTGTCCAAGCTGGTCTCCTGCGGTATCAGCTCCCTTCAAGTAAGGACCAAGTGAGTTATCAGGAAGTGCATCTTTTGAAGAAATGTCGAGTGCCTAAAGGGATTCGGAAAGAAATTTCCCGCGCCCGGCTTGACAAGTTTGCTGCGTCAAGCGGCAACATCAATGTAACCTGGGTGCAGGTTTGGCATCGAGCCGCGAGACTTGGTGACTTTTGTGGAATGCTGATGCTGGAGCCATGTTCGTTGAATTGACGGCACAGCAGAAAATGGCACCTGGCCAGGGAGCAAGCCGAAGGCCCCCGCCCCCCCCCCCAAGGCGCCTCCCACCCACCCGGAAAGGTTCTTGTGTCGGCGTTCCCGAGGTATTGGGGGACAAGGGGAATATTTGAGAAGTGAGGTTTAGAGTTTAGGGCGTCAGGGCGTCAGGTTTGGGATGGGTCCGGGGTTCAGGGGTTTGGTTCAGGGTCCAGGCTTCTGTTGGTTGAGGCTTAGGGTTTAGGTTCAGGTCATATAGACTGTTTGGTTTTCGGTTTAGGGTTTAGGTGTGAGGTTCAGCTTTAATTAGGTTTGGGTTCTAAGGCTTAGGTCTAGCGTCGAGAGACATTGGGCGGGCAAACCATCTCCTGAGCAGTGGGCCTGCTTGGGGAACGCTTTTGGGGTCATCAAATTCCACATCACTTTCTTCAGGTAAAATGCCAGCAGTATTCTGACTGGAGCACACATTGTTCGTTTCTGCCTCCGCATTGCATTGGTTCTTGTTTTGACTCATCAGTCTGGACTCGTCGAAGTGGTTTGTCTTTCTATGATCCTTCTCGTTCGTACGCCCGCGATTGTGTGGTATGAAAGCGGACTAGTTCGTTGACTAGTTGCCTTGGCAGCAAAAGGTCATGTCAGGGCGGCGACTGTACGCAACTGAAAACTCAACACGGGTACGCATCCTAACCGTCTCCAACTCAGTCTCTCAATGCCGGGATGCGAAACAGGCCGAGCTCTCCTGGTCAGGATACAAGTCCTGGTAAACTTGCGTCTTCTTGCAGCTTCGCCGTGCCAGCACGGCCTGCTCTTTGACTCCGGCCTTCCCACCAATCCTTAGTGCTTAAGCAACTGCGTGAAGAAGCTGGACGAGCAGCACTTTATTTGGAAGAACCCAGCTGGGTATTTATTCAAGTGGAGATTGCCATTGGGGAGGGCGGGTGATTCTTCAACATCAAGCTCCCCAGCTCATGCCTTAACCAGATTTGCCCCAGAAATGTGTTTGTTCTCCGGTGGAAAACTGACCGAAGGGCCATGTCGAAATCAAGACGCCTGCCACCTGAAGTGAACCCAAACTGTGACAACATTCGCTGTTCATCCGCGAGTAAAGAGATGAGAAAGCGTTGCCTGTCTGCTCGGATTTTCCCAGTGGGATTTTGCAAGCGCGCTGTCCCACGACTCTCGGCCGCGTGAATTACAGTTGCCTTCCGCTGTTCCACTGCATTTATGTAGAGGAATGGTAAACTAAAGCTAAGACTGCACGACTCCAAAACCAGAAACTCAAGAGAAACCAAAACCGAACCCAGAACCCCCCCCCCACAAACATCCTCAAACAGTCTTTCCACGGGATCGGGCCAGCCAAGAACAATCCTCAAACAGACTTTCCCACTGAGTAGCCAGCCAAGGGTAGCCAGCCAACAGCTTTGGGAGAATGTCTCGTTGCACTCTCTGGTTGTCATTTTTGTCATTTCTTGGTTTTATCGAGGTTTTCTCGGTTTGTTTGTGTCCTTCCTGGTTCAAAGGGAAATTTGGTTTGTTGTCCGTTGCTTCAGTTTTTCAGACAAGTGGGCTACTATTGCACAGAATGCACTCGGACGCAAATAGCATTTTGGCAGGCGCTTTGGCAGCCCGGCTCAAGCTCAAACATTGTGACTTTTTTACACAGACGAAGAACACAAGGCGCACTTTGGCAGCGTCAGCGCCAGCATCCAATGACAACTCTTCTGTACCAGACCCTGCTTTGCAAATATATGAGAACCATACTGGTTTTGCTCTCACTATTTTCCTTTCTCTTTATCATGTTTTTCTGTATCAGTATCTCTTGCTTCTTCGGAAAAAAGAAAAAGAAAAAACAGGTTCATGTTGAATGCATCAACCAGATTACTTTTTCAAAAGAACAAAATACGGGGGGGATGTCCACTTCTGGTTCTCTTCTCTCTCTTTCCTGCCTCCCTGTCTGCCAAAAGCGCTTCGCATAGACCACATGTTTTCCTCATCTATCTATCTATCCGTCTATCTATCTATTCTATCCATCTATCAAGATTTATTTACCCATCGACGCCGGCCTGTATCGCTCTGTCTTGTCTCCCTATCTATCTTGCTATCTGACATGTATCTTTGAATCGAACTATCCATCTATCAGGCCAGTATTCCTGCTTTTTGAACCTGGAGATAAATCCATCCACTGTCTGGGTGGACTTCGCCCTAACTACGTCGGCATCGGCGTTGCACACCATGTTCCTCGCTGTGCTACTGGGCACTCCGCCAAATCGCGCCATGATCCACTTGAGGCGGGACACACGCGTGAGTGGGATGACCCCCGCACAGGTCAGAGATCGTGGGGGCTCATTGCAACCATACAGTAGTGCGAAGCTATACTGCGAGTTGCGCCGCCACGACATGGGCCATACTGCATGCTCCCCAGTTTGACCATCGCGTCAACGACTTCGTCCAACGCTGGCAACTTGCATGGTTTTTGTCGGTGCCATTCACAATTGACCAGTTGTATGAGGTCACGCGTTCTTCGAGAAAGCTGCGCGCACTTCAGGGCAACTTGACAGAATCACACCAAACGAATCTGACGTGCGTTTCGCAGCGAGGCAGGTTGGATGTCAGAACTCAGACCTCACAAGTGTTCACACGAGAAACGTGGGGTCGCCGGCTCGGGGCATCCATAGGGACGCACAGCTTCCGCTTCTGAGGCACCATGGCTACAACGACACTGCGGTGTGAAACTGTCCTGCGCAAACGCCGGCAAAACGGACACGACATCTCACGGGAGTTCACCTGTAGGTGAGCTACGCCCGCGCGACGGCCACAGCTTCCAACCAAATGAGACAGGACAGCGCACAGTTCTGCTGAGATCTTGCAGAGAGGCGACGCACCACCTTGGCGCGAGCGAAGGCGGAAAGCCCGCACGTTGGGAGTAGCGGTGGCCGACTTCTCGAGACAATACTGAAGTGATAGCGTCTACCCCTGGTCTTTGCGACAGCAGACGCAGACACACGCACGCGGGCGACCAAATCACCTCGACGCTTGGTTTGCCGAAGCTGACCTGATATTTACCTACGGGCGCTGCAAGGTGGCGTCATTGCTCGTTGTTCCATTCCAAGCTGCTCATGGACAACTCGCAGCCGGGAAGGCTCTTTCAGCTGGCGCTGAACATGTTCAAGACTAAACTCGTCAAGTTACTTGGTGAAACATATGCTGGACTAGAGCAAGCGTTGGTTGGTGCAACAAGCGGCGTCACGGGGGGGGAGGCCAGCGCACGTAGCGCTGCAGCGTTTCCACGGCAATGCACGGCAGGCAGCGGTCACCCTCGCGCGCTGGCCGCTGCTGGCACACAGCGCAAGCTGCCATGATGCTATCTTCTCATCTTCGCCCCTGACGGGCGGAGGCCGCAACTCATCAACAATGTAAATGAAACCCGGTGCTGCACGCGAGTGCAAATGCCACATGGCCAAGATAACCGCTGGAATGCGTTTCCTGCATACTTCTCTCTGAAGATTTATGCGGCGGTGAACGACCACTTCAAGAATCTCTTCTTCAAACCTTGAAAAGCCCAGTGGCCTTCCACCCTGTTGTCACGGACAGCTCAGTGAGACTTGCAACGCTGCCTTGTCGAAGAAACGCGCACCCTGTTGCCCACAGCCATGAAGCAGCCGTGCACTATCTTCATTCAACTTCGCGCTTCCAATGGCAGTCCATTGCGCACTGTCGACTCCAGAAAACGCACCAGCATGCCGGCAAAAATAAGCTCACATCGGCTGGTGTATCGGAATGTTTTTTGGTTTTGTTTTTAATGTGCGCCACCAGTGCTTCATCAGCACAGCCTCTGCTAGTGAATTTTGGCAAAATTGCCGAAGGGCCGAACAAATCACCGCCATCCAAATCATTCATGGTCAAGTAGCAAACACGATTCACAAAAGCTGTGCTAATGTTTCCATTCCATGGGGAACCCTTTTTCTCACCCTCCAAACCTTTTTTTTCAACCCTTCCCTGTTTTTCAACCCTTCACCCTTTCTATTTAACCCTCCCCCTGTTTTGTTAAACCCTCCCCCCTTCTTTTTTAACCCTCCCCCCTTTCTTTCTGACCCTCCACCTCTTCCTTTTAACCCTCCATTTTTTTCTGCCAACCCTGTGGCCGAAGTTTGCGGCAACTGCGCTAAGCAACGGTTTAGGGTTGGGTTGGTTTAGGAGTTGCCTTGGATTTAGGATTGGTTTAGGGTGGGTTCGGGCCAGGCGGGCAGGTGGGTTTAGGGTTGGCTTCGGATGGGGTTTAGGGTCGGTGTTGTGTTGGCTTAGGTTGCGCAACCTCGCATTTAAGGCTAGTTTAGGGTGGGATTTGGGTTTGTGTGGGAAGGGATTAGAGGCGGGGTAGGGTTTGTTGAGGGTGGGCTTAGGGTTGGTTTGGGATGGGAAGGGCAAGTTTGTGGTCGGTTTAAGTTTCAGGTTGGTTTCGAGCAGGTCTGTATATGTTGGGGTTAAAATTTGGATGAGGGTGGGTTTGGGGCTTGGAGAATGGGTCTACAGTGGGTTTATGATTGGTTTAGGATGGATTTAGGGTTGGTTAAGGGTGGGTTTAGAATGGGCTTAGGGTGAGGTCAGGCTTGGGATTAATGTTGGATTTACATGGTGTTAGTTTAGGGTGGGATTAGGGCGTGTGTCGAAAGGCTTCAGGGTGGATTTAGGGTGGATTTAGTGTTGGCTTGGAATCTGTTTGAGGTGGGTTTCGGGTTGGCTTTGGGTGTAGAGTTGGATTAGGTAGATTTAGAGCAGGATTTTGGTGGGTTTGTGTTTGGTTTAGGTAGTCTGGAGTAGGTCTGTGGTGGCTGTAGGGTTGGCTTAGGGTTGGTGTAGGGTTGATTCAGGGCGGGTTTGCGGTTTGTCTAAGTCTAGGGTGGTGTTGGGGTTGCGCTAGGGGAGGCTTGGGGTCGCTCAAGGGTGGCTTAGGGTTGATTTGGGGTGGCTTGATTTCAGGTGGGCTTAGGGTGTTTAAGGGTATGTTGTTCGCCTGTTTTGGGTTGGATGTAGGTTGGTTCAGGGTTGGTCTGGGATGGTTTAGGGTGGGGTTTGGGGTTGATTTAGGCTTGGATGTGGATTGGTTTTGCGGCTGGCCTAGGGTTGGCTTCACTGGATTTAGGGTTGGGTCAAGCTCAGCTTAGAGTCTCAGGGTGCGCTTAGAGTTGGATCAGGGTGGGTTCATGGTTGGTACAGGGTGGGCTTTGGTTGGTTTAAGGTTGCTTTGGAGTGGCTCAGGGGTTGGTTAGGGGTTGGTGTGGGGCTGGCCTAGGTTGGTTTTGAGTTTGGTGTGGGTTTAGCGTTGTTGAGTCTAGGGTGGGGGCAAAGGTTGGCTTAGGGTTGGTTTTTGCTGGGCTTGAGTTTAAGGTTGGTTTTCGGGGTGGTTCGTGATTGGTTAAAGCTGGGTTTAGAGTGGGTTTAGGATTTGGTTAGGATTGGCTTAGGGTCGTTTTCGGGTTGAGGGTTTGGGTCGGTGGGTCTGTTCAGGGTTGGTTTAGGTTGGGCTTAGGGTTGCATTAAGGCTAGATTTGGGTGGGAGTGGGGTTTAGGCGGGTTTGGGGTGGGTTATTGTTGGCTTAGGCTAAGCTTAAGGTGTGGGGTGGATTGCGGTTGGATCAAGGTTCGGGTGGGTTTAGAGTTCGTGTAGGGTGGGTTTAGGGTGGGTGCAGGACTGGCTTGTTGGTTTTAGGGTTGGTTTAGTTTGTTGATTTAGGGTTGGTTTAGGGTCGGTTTGGGATTGGTTAGGGGTGGGTTGTGTATGCCTTAGGGTGGTTTCAAGTAGGTCTGTGGTGGTGTCGGGTGGGTGTAGCTTGGCTTGGGGTGGGTTTAGGGTTGGACAAAAGATGTTTCTGGCTTGCTTAGGGCTCGTTTAGCGTGATTTAGTGTAGGGTGGGTTTGGGGTGGGTTTGGGCGTGTTTGGCTGGTTTGAGATTGATGCTTAGGGCGGCGGGCCTAGGGTTGGTTTGGGTTGGGTGGGTGCGGGGCGGGCTTAGGTTGTTTTAGGTTTAGGGTGAAAACAAGGTTGCGGGGTGAAACAAGCAAGCTCGCGGGTGAAAAAAACAAGGCGGAGGGTGAACAAAAACAAGGCAGAGGGTGAAAAAAGCAAGGTGAGGGGTTGAAAAGAAAGGATTCTCAGGGTTGGAGAAACAAGGTTCCCGCCGACGGTTCCCAAGCAGGGTTTGAGGGTTGAAAAAAAAGGAAGAGTTAAAAAAACAAGCTCGGAGGGTGAAAAAAAGGGAGCCCATGTTCAAAATAAATAAAAATCAAACGGTGAAAATGCAACCAGAAGGGCCACGAGTAAAAGACATACAGTGCAATAGTAGATTAACCTTTTGCTGCCAAACAAAGCAATGGGATACACAATGCGACACTACAATGCAATCAAACATCTGCATAGAGAAAGCCAAAACTCATCCTAACACCCACCCTAAACCGGAACCCCCCCCCAAAAAAAAAACAGGTGCTGGGGGCGTGCACGTTTGGTGCATTTTGAGCCCTCTTCGCATGTATTGGCTTGTAAGTCTACGTGTATTTTTCATTGGGCTCGGGGCTCGGGGTGGGTTTGGTGCTGGCTTCCTTGCTTTCTTGCCTTGCCATGCCTTGCCTTGCCTTGCGTCAAAAAATGCAATGCGGCGACCTTTGGGGATGGCTCTCCAAAACTCATCAGGACCAATCTGGGTATGTGAGATTTTCCCTGGTGGCTCCCTAGCCAGTGTGAAAAGGGGAAATCCTGAAAACCATACGGAACCCAGAAGGTGGTGCCATCTGTTTCCACCCGGCTGGTTTCATCGCACCACCTTCTCATTACGCGTGGTATCCCCATTGCTCCATGGCTCTTCTTGACCGCTTGGGTGAACTCCTTGGCGTACTCGAAGAACATGGCCGCGCAGCTGGGAGAGTTCTGCAAGCAGCTCACCAAGTTGTCTCCGTCCAAGGTGAACCTGGGCCATTTCTTGTTGCCAGGAGTACAGTTCCACCAATCCCGTCTTTGTGATCCACGAGTTCAAAACAGGCTGCCCCTTCCGGCCCCCGTGAAACACAAAAGGAAACTCTCGATGATGTGCTCTGTGATGTGTGCTCGCGTGTTTCACTGCGAAGCAAGTGATGATGAGGACATCCAGTTGGACACCGCTGGACGTGGGCTTCCAGTTGCCCAACTGCAAACGCCGGTTGCTTTTTTTTCGGCGCTGAGCGGCATCTCAGAGAAGGTCATGGCCACCAAGGAAGAATTCAGAGCCAAGGCATCCACATACAAGCTGAGCTCCTCCAAGCAGTTGACTCCTGGGGTCAACGGGGCAAAACATCGGCAAGCCTGTCTGTTTTCAGGGAAAAGCACGCATCAGTGGTCTAAACATGAGTGAACATGGAGTTGGCCCAGCCCTGCCTGTCAGAAGTGTTTGCTCTCCAGTCCCATCAAAGCCTTCGATGTGGGCGTACTCTCCAGTGACAGTGATGTACCTGATCCGACATGGGTTGGAAAGCGGTCAGGCTGCACGAGTGACTCCAGCCCCATGTACCCAAAGCGACATAACGCAGCGACAACATAGCAAATAACATATTCAGGCTGTGGCACATGCATGTCGACAATCCTCCCGCGGCAAACACCTCCTCTTGATTTTCGCACACAACCTTTTTCAATACCACGCATATAGAGGAAAACACCTCAGGATAAAGGGTCAGAGAAAGATCGAATATAGGCATTGTTTGGATGAACCGCGCCCTTTGATTCACAGAAAGCTCTGTCTGCAGTGTGCTGGAGATCAAGCCGTTGTCAAACGTGGTAGGCATCATCTTATCCAATTTGTAGTCAACAAACTTCATGACCCTGGACACCAGCTCAAAGGATGCATCTTGGCTGTGCAGGTAATGCCGGATCTCACATCGCTGTTTTGACTTGGCCTCGTTCATGCTTCGTAGCTCCACCATGGTCCCTGAAATTTTGGAGATCGCAGAGCCGATGACAACCAAACAAAAGATGTTGGTCAGGATGTCGAAAAAGCGCTCTGTAACACTGTCTTCCGCAATCACTGGGGGCGATGGCGCATCCATGACGTAGCGGAACGCATGCAGGTACTGCGTGAATGGATCCAGGTCTTGAGCAAATGCCAGGGAAAGCCAGCTCACCTGCCTGTCACTCAAGACAATGCGGCCCAGGAAGAACCAGAAACAGGTCATGACGTGAGCCACCAGCAAGATGGCAACGGCGGAGTTGATGATGGCCACCACCAACATGATCCATTGCCGCCCCGTCGAGGCGGCAATCTCCTGCATCAGGTCCTTGCAAATCAACATCGCAGTTCATGTTAACCCCGGAGTAGTAAATCCCCTGGTTGATTAATAGGGGATGCCCCCTTTTAGTGGGGATTCAGACCACTTTTGGAGGGAACCCCCCCTAATGGGATGGGTTTATTACAGTACTCACGGCCTTCTTGTCAATGTCCCCTTTTGGATGCGTCTTCTTTTCAGAGACCCCCCCCCAAAAAAAAAAAGGGGATGGTGCGGTGGTTTTCCTTTAACACCTCCCCAAAAGGGATACCCTCGAAAGAAAGACACAACGTGCCCTCCCGTTTTGCATCTGAGCTGCATCGAATCGAGCCATCTTCAACAGTCTCACCAGCCGGAAGGCCCGAGCAACTCGCATGGAGCGCATTACAAGGCCCAATTCATTTCCCTGCGACTGCCCCACCAGATCTGCCAACGTGATGTAGTCCAAGACTACAACAGCCAAGTCGATGATAAACCTGCATTGGACAAGGGGAAAGGAATATCCATGCTGACCGAGTCTGATATTTTAATTACTGGTCCCAGAAAGCAAACAGCGCCACGAAGCGTGGACACATTATACAGGGATCAGGGATGAGGAGCATGACAAACGCCAAAAGCCCATAGTCTTTCTCCAGACCATATCACATTTTGAAACCCGATAGTAGGCCAAGCACCACCTGCTAAAATTGCCAAAAGGAGTTTGGGCGCCGCTCACTTAGTGCAGTTTAGAGGCCAGGTCCGCATGTAGTGCTTCAGGATCTCCCTTCGGCTGAAAACAAGAGCTCCTCGTTCGTAGAAGGCAGTGTTGAGGTTCCTTAGTCCATTGATCCCTTGCAAAAGGTCAAGCATTTTTTTGGAGGATATGGCATCTCTAAAGTCTGAACGTCCAAACGTTGTATGGGTCTGGCTGGGAACCACAAGCCGAGGTTCATGAAGATATCCAAACTCCAGAACACCAGGCTGACCATAAAGACCACCAGCAAGAACACGCTCCCGGCGTCCTCATAGCCCTGCTGCCAGTCCCAGGCCAAGGACAAGGGCAGCAGAATGGCATCCGCCAGGAGCAAGATGAGGCCAACCAAATCCCAAATCAGTCTCACCTTTCCAAGTGGATGATACGTAGCAGGCATGCGGCTGCTGCTGAGGGAGTGGTTGGACAAGGACCTTCTGTGGAAGGACAGCTTCTGCCCGGCGCTGGCTGAGACTCTACGCCTCTGCTCGGACAAGGCCAGCAGGGCCTCAGCCTGCATTGAGAGCTGCATCCAGCGATTGTGCAAGCGCAATTCCTTGGTTAAAAAGTTTTCAACTTTTTGGGGGTTTAGTAGAAAACACCGTTATTTCACAAAAAGCTAAAGACTAAAGATCCAACCCAACAGCAGTCAAGATTCTTTGCCTCCGACCATAAAGTTGGTGGTCTGCGTGAGGGAGCTCATGGTTCCCAAAGGCCAATACCAGCCCGCATTGGCCGACCACTTCTTCTCCCTATGTTCCTGCAAAGCCGCTGGCTCTGACAAGCCCCTCATATCCTCTGCGGTGCTTGCTCTCGCTCTTGCACCTTCGGGATGGGCGTTGGTAAATTCGCACTCCATCTCGGAAGCGGCCGAAGAGCTGTCGAGCTGTTTCTGGACCACATCCTCCAAGCCTGCCACTTTGTCCTTGATCCGTTGCACAAAGCTGTCGACTTCTTCTTGTATAGAATGGATGGCATCCAGCTGTTTTTCGAAGTGGTCTAGCAATTCGTAATCGCCAATCTTCACCATTGCGACGTAGCCCAAGTTCTGTTCCTACAAGGCCATTCGCTAAGCTGAGGGCCAGGTTGGCACGCAGATCCGGATGCCTTGCAACCGAAGGTCCCTTGATAACCAGACCGTAGACATGTCATCAGGTTTGGCATCTGCATAAAGAAATGGACACAACTACAACGAACAAGTTACTCAGCAAGATTGTCCTTTTCTGACTCGCCGATGCTTCTGCCACTTGCCCTGCCAATCCCTGCCAGCATCAGACATCTTGGCAATTTGCGCAAAGTGGGAACCGGCAGCTTGTCAGAATCTCGCCACTCACTCGGAAGCTGAGCGCCTCAAGTGCATCACCCGTGAGAAGGCTGGGGAGAAGGCGAAACACTCTTCCCTTGCGTGCGCTCAGCCTCCCTACGGCATGCTCTTGTCCACCCCAAACAAAGCTTCAAGCGGTAGGCTCCTGACCACCTACTAGCTTGGAACCAGCATGAGCTCCCGGAAGAGCCTGAGCTCCAAAGCTGGACAAGTCATGACTGCCTTATAACACAATCCCTTCTCAAGCTGCAAAGGCTCCATGACACCATGGCGCACGCAGTGCCTCCTTCCCCCCCCCTTTTTCGTCTGCTCGGCACCTCTTTGGCTCAAGCTGTGAGTAGGAGTCAGGCACCGTTCATTGGGGCCCCATTGCGATGCAATAGGCTGGGGCGAGAAACTGCCCTGACAAGTGGCCAAGTGGCCAACTCCCACACTCCCAAGCCACGCAACCAGGCCTAAGCCTAAACCGGTTGGCTAGATTGTCACATGGGGAGGCTCCGCGCTTTGCGTCGGCAACTCCACGAGGCTTGCGCGCCGAACTTGGGCATCAAACGTCAAAATAAAAGATGGGCCGTCGGCGTCGCAAGTTCATCGCTTCTTGCGACTGCGGCTGGGGCTTGACTTTCGCCTGCAACATGCTGTGCATTCTCTGCCTTCAGACTATTATGTATGAGTATGCTATGTTTTCCAGTAAAGCCGGCAAAGCCGGGGGCGCAAGTTTCACACATAGCCATAAAGCCCGCTTCCAAAGTAAAAGAACTATGGTTTGGAGCGCACGTGCTGTTCCTCTCGCTCTCTCTGTCTCTCTCTCCCTCTCTCTTTTTTTATCTTTCTCTTTCTCTTTTCCTTTCCCCGTCTCTCTCTCTCTCTCTGTCTCTTTATGGTTCCCTTTCTCTCGCTCTCTCTCTCTCTCTCTCTCTCTGTCTCTCCCCTTTCTTAACTCCACAAGAATGAAGAAACGTGAGCAAACACAATTTTCTTCGAGGTTGACCCCCCGAAAGTCCGCAGAGAGCTCCGAGCAGAGTGAAAACCACATTTCAGGACAGGTTTTCTACCGTCGGCGCGCCGAACGTCCGCAGAGAGCTGTATGATAGCTGCGCAAGCCGAAACATATATCGCCACGAGTTGTAGGTCGAGCCCTTGAAAGCCAGCAAGTGAAAAGCGCTAATTCCGAGCTTTCGTAGGTGGAGCCCCTAAAAGTCCGCAGAAGGCGAGAGCGAAGCGCAAACGAAAATGTGCAAAACCGCAAAGTTTTGCAGGTTGACCCAGCTTTCCTTTCTGATGTTTCTGTAGCAGCGTGCGTGGTCGTGATGAGTTTTCAATCGGCCCCGTTCTGAGACCTTTGCACTGCCTCCAAGTCTTGCGACACAGGCGGCTTGCACACATGCGGAGGGGCGGAATTGTACACGCAGGGCCAGGTTTGCTCCGCTTTTCCCCAATTTTCCAAATTGTCCCATGTAGCTTTTTCTCAGCTTTCCGAGCGCAACACACACACACACACACACACACACGCACATGCTCCAGAAAAGGAGGCTGAACTACCGAAGTTCTTGTTAAGCTTCCATCGCTTCCTTTGGTGAGGTTATTCTGTCCATTCGTTTGTTTGTTGATGCGCTTATTCACTCACTTGTGGATGTCTATCCATGTATTGTTGATCTATTTGTTGATCTGTTTTTTAGGTTGTCCACTGTTTTGTGATATATTCATCTACGCATGTATGTTGATACGGTTGTTGTGGTTTTAGTATCGTTTACTTCTTCAGCAATTTATTTAAGTCTCTATTTCTGTGTATGGGGCGCTCTCTGATGGGGTACCCCAGTTGCACCTGGCGCTGATGACGCGTTGCGCATTGCCCCTGCTAGCGCCACATTGCAGCACCACGTCATTCCCTTGCGCTGAATTGCGGCCTGGCGCGCTCGCATTGGCGCTCCAAGCCCTACACTACAGCGCCGCCTCATGTCCACCAGGCCCTACAGCGCCGCCTAATGCCCCTTGTCGCGCCGCAATTCGGCGCCAAGAGCAAATCCAGCGCCAGGCCCTGATTCAGCGCCACCCAATGTCGCGCCGCGGCGCCAGACGCTAGTTCCACGCCAAGCCCCAGCTCAGCGAGTAAGAGCCAGCAAGCTGTTGTATGACCTTGGGCCAATGCTTCTCGATGGCTGAGATGTCAGTCAGCTAAACAACATCATGACTTGCCATCGGGCGCAAACAAGTCTTCTTGAAAGACCGTGCTTCACCAAGATGCGAGCGGCTGTTAGACAAGATAGCCATCGTCCCACATTTGCGCGCGAGAAGACAGACTGAGGGGAGCAGCCATGGCGTTGTGCATTTGGGAAGCTCGGAGGCAAAGCCGCGTCACTCAAGGCCTTTCCAGCGTTCTCCAGGCAATGCTCACATTGCGGGGCTTAGAATTTGTCGAATAAGTAGAACCAGCTTACACAAAGGATACTCCCATGAAAGACGCAGCGCGAGTCCTCGCGCGGATATTGTCACTCGCGTGTCACTTGCGTGTGACTTTTCTTGCCACTTGCATGAATGGTGTGTCACTTGCGTGCAATGGTGGCGTGTTCATTTGCGTGGCGTGTCCCAAAAAAACAGTATTTTCCAAAAAAACAGAGGTACTTTTGCCGGTCGCCTGCGTGTCACTTCTGTTTGACTTGCGCGTCACTGCGCGCAGTTGCGTGTCACTTGCGCGCCGCTTGGCACTTGCATGTCACCACGCGCCCAACCCGAACGCGTTCCATAAAAGCGGGCCCCAAAACAGCCAGAGTCACAGGATCCACGGTTAGGAGGGACACTTTCTATCTATTATTCTCGTCCCCCAATTCCAGCCGGTCCAACATTATAGGAGACAACACTGACACTGTTCATCCTTCACCCGTGCGTTGGGATAAGAGCTCGGAATTTGGTATGGCCATTTTGGATAAGTGCCTAGTCTTGACATGCGGAAAGCCCCTTCCAAACAACGGCTGTTGTGCACTCATCTACAAAAAAGGTTGTTGGATTTGTGTTTGTTGTGGATGACGGGGCGAAATTCATGTTGCAGGCGCTTCTGCCCGGGTCGTCTTCGCCTGGCAACTCATCACACTTGCGACAACATCCAATTCGGGCACTAAGTTCTTTGCCAGGTAAACTCAAGTTCCTGCAGCTCAAAAACCCGTCTTTGATGGGTAGTTCGTCCGCGCCTGGTGCTTCGTCTTCGCGCAACTCGTCTTCGCAATTCATCCTCGCTGGGGAACTCGCCTTCGCCTGGTACTCCGTCTTCGCGCAATTCGTCTTTGCAGAATTCGCATTTGCAGCAATTTGTCTTCGCAATTCGTCTTCGCTGGGTAAAATCATCTTCGCCCTTGTCTTTGTCTTCCTGGAACTCGCCCTGGCAGTTCGGTTCCACGGCGCGAGCTAGTAGGTGAAGCACCTTCGCCTGGAAACTTGTCTTCGCGCAATTCGTCTTTCGCAATTCGTCTTCACTGGGTAATTCGTTTTCGCAGAATTTGTCTTCGATGGGCAGTTCGTCGCCTGGTTGTGACTTTGCTGGGAATTCGCCTTCGCCATGCGTGATCGTCTTCGGTTGGATTTTAGGTACCCCCAAACGGGTCCTACTTGATTAATTCGCCTCGGCCCCAAGCAGGCTCAGATCTCGCTTCCCTTTGATCTTCGCTTTTCCCCTTCCCCAACCCCTTCCCCGCCCAAAATTTCTGCGGCCCACCCACCCCCCTCACCCATGTCTGCTGCCCTAAGATCCGCCCGGCCGGCCTTGAAATGTTTGGGGTTTGCGCGCTGGCCAGGCCTGACCTGTCTGAGATTAGCTTCAGCCCAACCAGCAACCCACACAAGCAAGGCCCAGCCCAGCCCGCCCAGGCTTGAGACTTGTCTCAACCTGGCGCGCTTACATGTCTGAGACTAGCCTCGGGCCCAGCCCAGTGTCTGAGACTCGCCTCAGGCCCAGCCCAACCAGCAACCACCAAGGCGCATCCCAGCCCGCCCGGCCCAGGCCCTCCACCAAGCAAGGCCCAGCCCAGCTCGCCCTGTCCTGAACATCGCCTTGGCCCATGACATCAATTGGTCCTACGGCGCCAGAACCTGCCCCAACCTGAATCGCAACTTGACCAGCTCTGCTGCTTGCAGTCGAACCACAGACGCTGCGCGGCCGAGGCGGGCAACGCGCAGCATTTACAATTAAGTTATCTTGGTGAATTATGGTACCTACTTAATTATCTAATTGTTTTATTATGTGTTCCATTTCTCGACTTTATGCATCTACTTGTGTATCTAGTTGCTTGGTTATTCATTTGCACATATATGTGCATCTATATGTAGATCCATCTATCTATATCTGTGTGTGTGTGTGTATCTGTGTCTCTCTGTCTCTCTCTCTCGCCCTCCCCCTTTCAGCAACGATAGTCGGGAACGCCTCGGCCTGTCGGAGGAGCTCCGGTCTCGCTGACTCCTGGCGCTTTTGGGTTTTCCGGTTCCTTGGCCAAGGGAAATCTGAACTTTGGCGCGCGGCTTCTCCCAGTATTCATGGGGCTTCGTCTGTCCGTGCAGGATTTTGTACCACAGGATTGTTTGATCAAATCACCTCAAGTGTCTTGAAAGGTTGGCAAGTCCGCCATAGCCCGGCAAGGGATCGAAATGGACCGTGCATCATGCAAGCCAATGCGTCAATGCACTGCAGTACGTGGTCCTCTTCTTGCGCTCCTTGTTCTTTTCCTAGACGGTTCCAAAGACTCTCCTCCTTCCCTCCCTCCCTCGCGTGCTCTCTCACTCTCTCTCTCTCTCTCTCTCTGTCTCTCTGTCTCTCTCACCCTCAGTTTGGTCCTTTTCCTTGTCCTTCTCCTTTTCCCTCTCCTTCTCCTTTTCTTTGTCCTTGTCCTTTTCCCTTGCCTTCTCTTTGGCTTTTTCTTTGTCTTTCTCCGCAGCTTTGGCCTTCACAAACCCACCCTGCGAAAGTTTCACACGCAAACTCGCAAACTCACATGCACATACAGAACACACGCACACAAACACAAAGACACAACACACACACACAAACACGAACACACCAAAGCACAAACACACACACAAACAAACAAACAAACAAACAAACAAACAAACAAAGCAAGCAAAGCAAGCAAAGCAAGCAAGCAAGCAGGCAGGCAGGCAGGCAAGCAAGCACGCAAGCAAGCAAGCAGGCAGGCAGGCAAGCAAGCACGCAAGCAAGCAAGCAGGCAGGCAAGCAAGCAAGCAAGCGAGCAAACACAAACACACAAACACACAAAAAACAAACAAACAAACCAACCAACCAACCAACCAACCAACCAACCAACCAACCAACCAAGCAGGCAGGCAGGCAGGCAGGCAGGCAGGCAGGCAGGCAGGCAAGCAAGCAAACCGAGCACCCGGCCGCCAATCCCACAAAAAGCGCAGCGTTACCAGCACCACCCCAAACAGCACCTGCCAAACTGCATGCCCTCTAGCACCCGGCCTTCAGTCTTGCAAAATGCGCCCGCACAGACACCGGCATCTCAAAACAACACCACAAGCAGCAGCAACCCAAAACAGCACCTGCACCAGCACCCCAAACGCCCGCACCGTCACCAACACCCCCAAAACAGCACATGCACCCGCACCCCCGGCCATCAATCTCGCAAATAACATTCCCTGTTTTATTAAAAGTTGGAACCCCTGTAGCTTTCAGCTATCTGGGGAACAAACAAACAAACAAACAAACAAACAAACACAGAGCCACGTTAGAGCCACACAAAGCCGCACAGACCCACACAAAGCCTCTCTACCCACAGCCCCACACAGCCCCACAGAGTGTCACAGCCTCACAAAGCCCCACATAACCAAGCCGCCCAGCCACCCAAGCAACCAGCCACTTTGCTGCAAGACTGGAACGATCCAGTCTGCGCTCATGCTGTCCTTGGCGGGTTCTTCTTTTGGCTTGACTTCTTTGGTTGCCTTTACCCATGTGGCTGTGGGTCAAAACCATGGGATCCTATTTTGGGGCAGGTGCCCCGCCCAATTTACTTTATTTTGGTGGGGATGAGATGTTCACTGGGGGTACGATTTGGCTTTGGACCCATGGCCATGCGCTTTCAATGTGTCTGCACCCTGGAGTCAAGTGTGTCGCAAGTTTTTGCCATGCGACAACTGCCACGGCCTTGCCATCTTCGTTGGCGTTCACGTCCTTGTCCTTCTCTCGCCCTGACTTGATATCCTTTGCGTTCAGGGCCGGCTTGCAGGCAACAAGCACACGCAGCTCCAGCTCCAAACAACAAAGAGCAAGCCAATGGAAGAACCAAGCTGGCCCTCTGCATAGAACCGGCAGGCCCTCAATTAAGCTAGGAACAGGAAAATCAACTGGGGGCTTCAAAAACGACGAGGATGCTTCTAGGTCATGCACCCGCTTGTTGGCCAACGAACATGGCGTGATACCAAACGGTGTGAAGCCCTTCGAGGATGCTGACCACAGCGTTTGGCATGAAAGAACATGCTGGGCCTTGCAATCTGGGAGCAACCTGTGCAGACATTTTACCCTTTACTGCAGCTGTTTTGAAGGGGGACTAAAGAAAAACCACCAAATTTGTTTGGACAGCTCCGCCAAGTGGAGACAAAACACAGCTTCAGCGTGAGCTTATGATTTCGCGCAGCTTTTCAGCGGGGGAGCACCGCTGAAATCAGGCCCTGCCTTTCGTCTGGCACTCTTGGCTTCAGGGTCTGCCTTTGGCTCGAGCTTAAGGACCTGCGAATGGTGCAAGGCCCATTGGGGAGCAAGACATCCATCTGCATTGGTGCAGCCCGAAACAGGATTCCCTATAAAAGAAGCTTGATCATGGGAGGTCACTGGGAGAACACCATCTAGGACTTTTCTTTTAAAACATCATGGCTTCAAGACTAGGAATCAGCGCACCCCTTTCACGGCTTTGCTTGTGTTCTCCCCAATTGAGCTGGCTGAAACAATTGAATGCTTTCAGCTGGCCTCCGTGTCCTTTCTCATGACATCTTTCTGCTTTGCCTGGTGCCGTTGAGTCAAAGCAGCAAGCAACTACTGTAGCTGTAGCTCATGGCCAAAGAGGAAGGCAGGTCTCAAAATGAGAAATTTGGAACCATTTTGGATGCTGACAAAACGAAATCAAAGAGCAACCCAACCGCTTCAACCGGGCCCCCCGCCCCATTTCAGACGCACGCGAAGTGAGAAGTGGACCCCGGCGGGGGTTGTCGGGCCCCTCCCATTCCCAGCGCCTGACTCTGACTGCCCGAACGGCCAGCGTCACCTGCGATCCATTTCAGACCCCATGGCTACATGCCGCAAATAGCTCAGCTGTGTCCAAACATCACTCCAAGTGCCTTGCAATTCCCTTGACTACTTGCTCTAGGGTTGAGCCTTTGATGCGCTCCTGTGCAGATATGGCCGACATACTTTGCCCCTTTTTCAACAAACTATCCCAATCGAGTCGCAAACCCGGCACAGCTTGCTGTTCCGATTCCATCTCTGGCCCATGCCTGAACTCATCTTGTGTTCGCTCCACGTCTCCTTCGGAGCGACACATCTGAAGCGCAGTGAAGTCTCTCATACCTCTCCTGATGGGCTGCAGCCTCCAGAAGCTCCATGCGCCGACGGTCGCACTTCATTTGCACAACCTGCATGGTGCAGCTTGCCATAGCTTGCCCCTTGCGACATCTTGCGACATATGCAAAGACGCAGTGGCCGGATCAAGTTTGTTTGCCTCCGGCGGCTCGCGAGCTTTCTCCAGCTGCACGCGATAGCGCCCCACTTCCACCTCACAATTCAAGCCCCAACATGATGGCATCGAACGCATGGATTTATGCCGCACGAGTCATCATGCCTTTGTCGTGCAGGTCTTGGATTGACGGGCTACTGCCGTCAGTCGGAAACGGACGCGGCAGCTGCGCGCACCCTGGCAACATGCATATGGGGAAGTTCCTCCCATTCACGGCTCTCAGGATCGAAGCGCTCCTTAGCAGAAGTGGACTGCCAGCCAAGAGGAAGCAACTCCTGGGCTCACTACTGTGGACGAATTCCTGTACCACTTAAGAAACCCTTGAATGATGATTCCCCTGTAAATGCCAACAAACAATAATTTCCCATGGTTTCAAAGTGGCGCAGGGTTTTGCCCATTCACAGTATCATCTGTTTAAGGCTCTGCTTCCTCTTGCTGACGTGGTGCCACTGAATCCAACTGGCCGCCATCCTCGTGCAAGAATGCATGCAACGCTAGCTGAACAGCAAACACACACACACACACACACACACACGTACATTGAGGCTGGAAAAACTAGAGCTATACATCCTCGATGGATTCTTATTTCAGGGAATTAACAAGGTTGTTTGGTACCAAGCTTCTGGGTGTGGCTTTCTTTTGGCTTGCTTTCTGCCATGTAAAGCAACCCCGACAAGGGTAGCCTCGCCAGGGGGAACCAGCAACGCAGCAAAGTAGCATCCGCACCGCCGCACACGTACAGCTTCCCGTCCACGGCCGCGGCAGCAGGAGCGAAGCGTTGCTGCTGCATTGCCTGAGAAAGCAAGTGGTTGTGGGAAATTGCCCTCGTCTCCTAAGTGAGATCCCCGTCCCTATGACTACTTAGGGATATACTTGGAAAATGACCCTAAACCAATTTTCCACAAGCATGCCACTGCAGGACATGAAACTTGATATTCCAAAGAGGTCGAAGTGGTGTAAGCACATTCCGTTCGTGCCAGTCGTAAAGTGTGGATCCCCTGATATGCCACGCATCCCTGTGTCAGTCAGAGGTTATTTTGCTCACTTGCTACTGGACAACATGGGGGGACATAATATCTAAAGGGCAATGGGATTGCAAACCTCGCCCCGCAAGCGCCTGCTGTTGAGACCCAATGGAAAGCGGTATCAGCACAAGCTGACCCGCTCTCCTGGAGCCTTCACACCCTTACTCATGAGCCTTTGCTGCGTGTTACGCCAGCAAGCTCTTCAAAACAAGATGCAGGAACCAGCTGCCACACTCCTTGCCCAGGATCGTAGCACTCCTTGGGCCGGCGGCTCACTTGCGAGCTCAACAAAGACATGCCCATTCTGGCGGTCAAACCACGTTGGCACACAAGTGCGGGCGAATTCACCTGCCGAGCGTCCACAGAACGCAGCCGCCTTCTGCCATCTGAGCCCCCACAAACCTTGCACACAAAATGCAAAGCAAATTGCCTTTGGCACGTTTACTTGATTCATTCCCTCTCTCTTAGCATCCGTCTGTCCGCAAGCTTCTGATGGCCAAATCAATCCGCAAACTTGTCGTCTCCACTGCATTTTGTCAACATGGACCACACAAGGAACGCAGCCCGGGAGAACTTGGAAGGAGAACGCGGCCTTGTGCTCCAGCTTGCTCCAGCCCCCCCCCTGCGAGACCTCAGGCCCATCGATGCCAAAGCACGTAGATGCAGCCGTGCAAGGCGGCCGCCGCGGCTCCGGAGCGGCGCTCGCGCATTGGTGAGACCGCCTCGCATAAAATGCAAGACGAGGCGCCCACCGCCACCCCAACCTTACAACTTTGGGCTAA